TTGGCTGGCTGTCAGCTGCGGATCTAGGCAGGTTCCACACAATCACTCTCACTCACAAAGTTCTACGTTCTGGCGAACCAGACTCGCTCGCCTGTGTGCTCCGGACTGTGGGTGATGTGCACGAGCGACCCACAAGACAGGACAGTGACCTCTTTGTCGCTCGATCCCGAACTGAAATGGGGAGGCGCCGCTTTTCTATCCGTGCACCTGCCCTCTATAACACGCTACCACTAAACCTTCGCCACCTCCCAGGTGCCCCCTTCTCAAGGCAGTTGAAATGTTACCTTAGGAGAAACGCTGGGGCGAGCCGAGCTCCTTTGCGGAGATAAGTCCGGAGGCTGATGAGTGAGTGCATTTTAGAGTGTGTGAGACGTGTGTGTGAGGCTTGTCCTCCTGTTTTTATTCCCTTTTTAATCTGTTGACGATGGGTAGGAATAGCCTGAAGCTTATTCGGGATTGCCCAAATACACGTGAATATGAATATGAATATGTATCATGGTAGGTAAAACAGCTAAAAAAAGCACAGTAACTTAAAGACATAAAACCTACCATGACAACCTGGGCGTGTTTGAAAGGCCCCAAGATGACATCTCGCTGCTGTTCGTAGCACATGCGAGAGTCCACACCCATCTCGTCGAATAGGATGGCGCAGTTCTTCGAGATCTCTGGCATGTCGGCCGCTGCAGCTTGCAGGAACTGGAGCAACGTATCCAGGCAGCCCGGCTCCACCCGGAAGCCCGACACCCATCTCGACAGGCTTCGAACTGAAGGCAGCGGCCACCTGTTGACCATATACACAAAATCAGCAGGCGCTTACTAAAAGCCTTAACAGCGATTGGAAGTTACTAGTCCCACTTAGGGAAAACATGGTTAGAAGTGCAACAAATGGAGTCAGAAAACTTACATTTTAAAGGTATTTTGAGCAATGTGACACATTCTGGTACAAATACAAAACAGTGCCATCTTTATTTCAAAATCTCAGTTATGAGTGCAGTGCAGTCTAATAAACGAATGATATACTAGGTACCCAACCACAAAACATAGTAATGATTGCGTCAGATTCAAATGAGCTGAACCTGGAAAACTGTCAATGCATGCCACGGAGAAAAACTCAACTCCTAAACTTACATTCAAACACTGGCAGATTCAGCCGGGTGGGCCTGGTGGCATATTGCGAAAGGGTGACATATTGCGAAAATGTGACTCCCCTCCCGCCGAAATTGACAAAAAAAAAAAAATTACGGTTATTCGAGAATAAAACGAAACTTAACTTTTATAGCAAAAAAAAAAAACGTGTTTTAAACTGCACAGCGGTGCGCAAGGAGTCGAAATCCGATGAGATTTTGCAATTTGGAGACACTTTTAGGGGGTGTTAGTTACCCCGCAGCGCCCAAGACCGCCTTCCTGGGTCAACAAGTACATTCAAACTGAGCACTGAACAAAAAGACAATAGTCTCAGCTGTTAGCTTGTAGCAAAAAGAAACATCCAATAATTATAAGCATTTGTCACGTAAAAAGCAGGAAGAGTTTATACTTATTTTACGCATAAGTTATCATCACGGTGAAGTAAACTAACCTCTGTTTTTCGCGAAGATACTCATAAACCCTTTTGGAAGTACTCGTCCTGATTCCTAGAGCCTTGATGATGGTCTTCTCGTCCCACTCACAAGGGTGGACACCGGTCTTCATCATGGTGAGCTGAAATGGCCATTAAAATGGGAGTTGGATCATAACAGCTAATGTTTGCTCAAAACAGGATGGCGACAATGAGGGAAAAATTATTGAATAAGTTAGGCATAGGGCAGTGGGCACACATAAAAATTAGTCAGCTATCACAAGAGGTTGGTTGGTTGGTTTTGGGTTAAGCACCACATCCAGTGGACCAAGGTGCTAACCGGAACTCTCACGCTGTTCCAAGCGGTCAGGTAGTGGCAATGCCACGTGCATTGCCCGGGAATCGAACCCGGATGGCCGAATCTAGAGGCAAGTATCTTACCCCTAGACCGGAATGCTCCCCAGAGCATTCCGGTCACAAGATCACAAGAGGGAAGGTATGAGTATGGTGTCCTGCATTATACTCATAAAGCTAAAAGCATAATGTAACTATAATTTTAGCCAGCTAAGCCTAATACCTATGACCTTTTTTTATAAATTTAGTCCGAACCTTTTGATAGAAAGGATTCACACTGAACAGCTTTTTAAAGCACATACCTGTTTTTCAGTCATAACTGAGAGCATGTTTTGATCCTCTTCAGACTTCCGTTCCTTGAACTTCTCAAACTTCTGCTTTGTCTGCGCCAGTTCTTTCTCCATCTCTTGCACCTTCCATTGCAGTTCATACAGGTAAGTTTCAGATGTCCTGGTAGCTGGCGGCAGGCAAGCTCCATCTCCTGGTTCCGGCATTCTAAAAAAACAACAACAAAACTACATGAACTGACCAAGCTTGCAAATGAGGACAATGCCTATTTGTAGCTTTGCAATATAGCCAAAACAAAACAAGCATTGCATTAATGGCAGTTGGCACCACTACATAATACTTAGTAGCAACATAATGAGTATTGTGATACATCCGAGATCTGATGAAATGATTGAAGTCATGAATTTCCATTTCAGACTGACCAAGGATCATCTAAACTTGATGCAATTTCGAAACTGACAAACGTAAGACAATATGTGCATGAACATGAGAGGAATTTAATCATTTGAAGCTCATTTAATGTTAAGCTGTTTGGATTAAATTATTAACATTCAATTTGACCTTCACCTTAGCATTACCATTATTGAATTATTCTAGTTTACAAGTGATAAGTATGAGGCTAGTTACAACAACAAGATTACCTTCTCTTGAAGTCATTCCAAGCAAATAGGGTTGGACCAGCTTCTTTCTTGCCATTCCTAAAATGACAAGAGCACACTCTTGAATGCTCATTGGGCTTTGCATCTTGTCTCCTGTGAAAAAGCAAAGCAATAAAGTTGGTTCTATTAGCAGAAAATGAATCAGACACCATGGCCCTGCTTCACGGCAAGCCGTAGTTACCTACTCACCACAGCTGAGCATTGGTGCTCATTTTCAAAAGAATTTAGAAATGTCAGTGAAATATCTTAACAATTTTGCCAGCATTTCCATTTGGACAGAATTTTGTCAGCATTTCCATTTGAACCTGAATGTGGGTAGCAGCGTGCAGTGAAACAGGGCCCTGCTCAGCAACGCTAAGCAAGCAGACTTCCTACATCAACCAATCTACAAATACACACCAGCAAGCACCAAGCAAAATCAGCAATTTTTACAACCAAATGTAGGTACCTACCTAGAAATTTGGGTAGGTACAAGTGGAGCAGACGTCACAAGAAAGTTTTCCAGCTAAGGAGAGGCGCTATACCCGGAGATGCTTCTTTCTAACCTAAACGCCGGTGGTGTTGGCGCCTTCACCCACTGTTCTGGAGGCACCACCGAGATCCGAACTCAGGATCTCCTGTTTACCGGAAAACAAACATAACCTAACCTGGCCTAACCTACAAACCTACAGCGCCTATCTTTGGTTGGAAGGCCTTTGCGTGACGTCTGCTCTACTAATGCCAAAATTTGTACTTTTGGTATGATTAACTGCAACAAAAGGTGCTTACTCCCTTGCTGTTCCTGCTGAGCCTCCCATACAGTCATACTGATACATTGTTTGCAATTGTACCATTTGTGAAACAAAGAAATGTGCCGACTGAAAAATATGGATACAAAGAATTGCAGGGACAAACATTTTCCCGACAAGTAATTGCGCAATGAAGAAATAGGCAAGGTACTTAAAAAGATTTGTCCTGAAATCACCTAGAAGTTACCCAAGCAGGTACTTAGCAAAATGGTGTGAGCCTGTGAGGGTTGCATATCTAAAAAGTCATAAAAGCAGCAATATCACGATAATAAACAAAAGGAGATATCACAATGTCGCATGACGAACCTCATCAGTGTAGTCCATTTCTTCAACTCCCCCTCGTCCCGGGGTAATCGGAAGAAGGAGCACTTGGACTGGGACCTGGCACTGGAATGACTGCATTGAGGCACAAAACAAAAAGGCATATTTGCTCCTTAGATGTAAGACTGACTCAATCTGATTATTCGCCCCAACAGCACTCAAACGCCTTGACTCAAACTCGATGAAAAAAGCGGGAAAAGCCAAAAGGGCGACTCAATGCACATTCCTGATTAGCTGTTCAAAGTGCACTTTCATAAAGATACGGAATGCACTGATTGGCTTTAACGTGATGCGCTAACGTCACTCAGTGTGAAAAAGCAGCCGTAAGCGGTTTTTCGAATATATCGAATAAATGTATTGTTTGCGCAGTATTTGTAACAACAAAAACTGAGGCTCCTTCTTGCCCTTGGAATGTGCCATCGTTCGAGTGGTGCATCAAAAATTATTTTTGTTTTTATGGGATGAATAAGTAGTTCTGTTCATCCTTCTATGAGATAGGGAAGAAAATTAGATGTCCCCGGCAGTAAAATGAAGATTTTTGGCACCTTGCAACACCCTGACAAAAGTCCATAGGATTTACATAATGTTTTAGAAGAAGAAAAAATCGTTGAACCCCACCGCCATTTTCTGGTCACGTGATGTCACCCACCTGGGATGAGCTTGGAGGAGAGCCGTTTCAGAGGAGCCACGGGAACATTTTCGCGAGGAAATCAGCTGTTTGCGGGCTGTAACGGTCGGCGATTTATGGCGCGCAAACATCAATCAACAGATAATAATCGCTTTCTAATAAAATAACCTTAGATTAATATCAAACATTACTATTTCAAGATATCCAATCGTCATCAATCACTAAAATCATTTCCACTTCCCTCTAATCTCATTTATAAACAATTCACATTTGTATTACGTGCGCCATATATGTCTACGCAAGGGCCTCCTCCAAAAAACCAACTTTCGTTTGGGATGAGGGAGGAGGCAAATAGTGGTGGTGAGATGTGAAATCAAGATGAGCTTGGAGGAGCTTGGAGGAGCGACGGGAACGATTTTTTGAAACGAGAGGAGGTTAGAGGAGCTTGGAGGAGGTTAGAGGAGCGACGGGAACAAACCCTTTATATACCTTGGCTGAAGCCATGCCTCGATAGTCGATAAAGGTAATTAAAAGGGCTCTCTCTATCGCCTGGATAAAAATAGGCCCCGCCCATCCCAATCAGCTGCTGTATGACGAGTTGATGACGACAACCACTACTTACCAGCAACCAATCTAGGGATAGCGTACGTGACAGTAATGGTGCAGCGGTTGCAAAAAATCACATTGTTATTCAAACGGTTTTTGCTTTTAGGGCCTTGTTGTTTAACCCATCTCTGTTTGATTGTATTGAGATATGTGATTTTAGTAGATGAGGTGTTGATAAAGGCAGGTATTTTTTAAAATATTTTTTTTGACAACTTTTTGCCCTTGTTCTACGGGCAAAAACCCGGGGAACCCGGGGCCACCTGAAGTCTAAACCTTATTTATATAACATGTCGATGCTGATGCTGTCTTGAAATGTGAAATTTAGACAATGGTAATAGGAATAATGAATAGCAATTTCACCAACAACTTGTTAATCTCTAGTAAGTGCAATTAAAATTAAAATCACTGTCTGCCACACTGCTTCGATCCTGGTCATGCAACCAACGTTCATGGGTGGTGTTTCATGGCAGAGCACTGCAGTGCGCTGCGTGTGTCAGACCATTGGGTTTCCATGGCAGTGTCGACAAACTTCACTGTGACGCTAAGCTATGACAGCATCCCAGAACGTTAGCACGCTGCGGTACCAGCACCAGCAGCATGCTAGCAGTATTTGAACTCAAACCTCTGTTTTTGGTACGGTTTTTCAGAACCTCTCACTCTGTTCCAAACACGATTCATCATAAACTAAGAGATCACATGCAACGTCATTGGAGTGATGCTATGGTATGCCGTAGCTACCAGTGCACACAGTGTCTGGATGGTGAAACAGGGCCATTATTAATCACATTTGTTTGCTTTGTTTCAGCAGAAACCTGTCTGCACATGGGAGGAGTGCAACAAAAGCCCATCAAGTTCATGCATGGCAGTGGATCTCAACAGGAGAAAACCAGAAAGAACATGGATGCTTGTAGATTGCAGTTGTACACTGCTGTTATCACCTGATGTGCGTGGCTGGCATTGCTCCTGGCAAGAACCACCTGCAAGTGATGAGATGGTGCCTCAGTCGTTGAGTGTGCTGCAGTGTGAGAGGCGCCCTGATCTCTACTTTGTGATGGGTTTCCATTGGAGGTTCAACTGAGAAGTGAGAACTGACTGTGACCATGCTTGAGCATGCCAGTGGAGCTTTACATGCTTAGGGCAGCTTTTGAACAGATGCTGATCATGGCATGTCCCATCCAGTTATCACGTGCACAGAATGGTGGGGGGAGGGCAACTCTGGGCTCTTGAGTCAGCCCTACTGCACAGGGGGTACAGATGGCCGCTTACTTTGGTGTGTCCTGCACTGCATTATCAAGCCCAGTCTGCTGCCACAGGCAATGGGTCGGGCTGCACTATATTAAAGGCAGACTATCTTGCAAAGGAGGCTGGCATCCTCTCCCATAATGACACACCAATTGGCAATCATCGCTGCGATGATCACGAGGGTGTCCGCTTATCTAACATGGTGAGGTGGAGAGCCAGCTCAACCTGGCCTGAGGGATGGTTTTACTTCAGCTGAGGCCCCCTTTCCCCGCCTGCCAGGTCCGGTCAAACGACCGCTTCACAGTGAACGACTTGCAGATGTGGATGCCGTCCCACAGCGCAACGAGCGCGCCGACCAGAGGCGGCGGCCAAGAGGCGGCCGCGCTCTCCCAGTCGACGGTCCCGGTGGACGTCGGCAACGCCCACCGCGCGACCATCAGATCGGCTCGCGACCGCGCCGTCGCCGACTGACCGCATGACTGGTATCTGTTCTTGATGTGGGACCGACTGCCACCGCCGGTCGCGGAAGGGCATCGCTCATCGGCCATCGACGTCCACCAGCTTCGCGTGGGTCACTGTTCGGGCTGCCACCAATATACCGAATCGGATGGAACCCTGTCGGCGAATGCCGGCGGTGCCCCGACATCGACTGCGCGGCGGCCAGTGCATCGCGTGCCGGGAGGAGGCTGGCACCCCCGATCGGTCATTGGTCACAAACCGTGTCCCAGCTCATGACTGCATCCAGCGCAGCTCTGTGAGATGTTCTGCTGCAGTCTGCCGCGTGTGTTGAAAGAAGAATGAACATGAGAAAACCTCAAAACTTTATGCCTATTAGTATTTGACCAGTGTTAGAATAAGTTTGGATTTTGAGAATTTGTGTCCCTGTGCTTGTGCCTGTGTGGAAAGGCATGCTTTACGGTGTACCATCTCAATTTGTGCGGCTGCTGACAGGCCACCTGGGTGCCAACGTATGTGCGAATCCGCGAATACGTTGTATTTCGTCAGTCGGTATCGTTCTGAAAATATTGACTGCAATAGGCTATATAGCGTATGACGGTTCAGCCCAGCAGTAATAACTGACCATTGATTGGGCGAATTTTGTGTGGTGGTTCGCTAATACATAACCTAAAGAGTGTTTTGCCGGAATCGTTTAGTAGCAGAACTGACCGGAATATAAGTAGAATGCAACGGTTTGAATCGTTAATTTGTTGAAACGATTGTTCTCTGAGACCACTGTGTAACTTTTGACCTGAGAATCACCAATTATAACAACGGTGGAAGCAGTAGGCACTGTAGAGTGTAGGCAACACTATATAGTTGGCACACTTACGCAAGCACACGACTTACGCAGTGGACATCTGCGTCATGCATTTTAAGGTTTACTGGGAAGAGTGAGAAATTAGTCAGAATATAACTGACTAAGGAAAATAGGCGATATTTTCAATTGAGCTGGGGCGGAGAGGGGGAGGGGACGTATGGTCAGCTATGCCAATAATTCATTCTCGTTATGCAGCTGTGTAAAAGGGCGTCCGTTTTTTGGGGTGAGACCTTCCCCATTGGCCATTTCCAAGCTAAATCGTGGTGGAGAGTCTGGAGACCTCAGCCTCGGTAGTCGGTACCCTGCGCGCTGCGCCACCTTGCGAAACATAAAGCAGCAGTCCTGACATCTGCAGGCGCTACTTTTCATGAAAACGCGGATGTGTTCGCGCTTATGCGAAGAAAATTCTTCCGAGTATGGTTGATAATGAGATTAATTGTTGTCATTTATTTATCAATTCATTAGCAAAAGTACCCTAATAAATCGGTAAAGTAGCTTAAACTGTATCGTATTTCCTTGGGAAAAAATGACGAACTCATCCTAAGACATCCAGATTATTGGATGCGTTCGTCAGTTGTAAGTAGTTCAAGTTTTTGGAAAAATTTGCTTGTGGAAAATCATAATATTTCAAAGATATGCCTATTTTCGAATGATTTATGCATTTATCTGCATTGAAAACTGATTGTAAAGCAAAAGTGCAAAAGATTATTGTCAATTTATTTTCTCAAATCACGATTTACGAACGCACAAAACTCCAGCTTTTAATTTAGTGCGTGTGCGAATTGCGGTCAAGAAAAAAGAATTTAACTGTCTATATTCCTCTTAAAACAATGAAGGATGAATGAGAAAAACGCTGTTTTGAACAATCGTATATTAATTTTTTCTCAATTAAGCGAAAGTACAAAATTTTCAACTATTATTACATTTGCTCTCACAAAACTCATCACTTTTAAGCATGACGTCATGTCAGCCAAATTTACTAGCGCCATCTCTGGAGAGCATCTTTCGAAACCTCCAGACGATAGAGAGAGCCATTAAAAGCTTGAAAGGTAAATAACAGCTCTCACTATGATTTTATTTATCAAATATGCTACCCTTTGTGGTCACAGCCCATTCAAGATGCCAGATCATGAGACCAGATCAAGCACCACCATGAGATGGTGCTTGGTTTATGCGCTGCATGCTGCATCTGTTTCAGTTTCAGTTTGAGTTTGTTTCATCATTGTCATGCATCAATTTTTTAAAGTTACATTTTTTGTTCTGGAAGTGTTCGGGTTTATCTATTCACCTAGTGAATTCTTCTTAAACTGACATTCATCTGCTCACGTTGACATAAGATAATTGAATCCGATCTCATTTTCTGATGGCCTAGACATTGACTCAAACTGAGCCAGAGTGGCGTCAGTGGTTTGACAGAAGCAAGTGATTCCTGGACAATGCACGTGGCATTGCCGCTGCGCTGTCTGGCCACTCTGAACTGAACAGCGAGAGCTCTGGCGGGGATTAGGATACCTCTTCATCTTATCCATGGCTCTGGGTAGCACTTGGCTCATGTGCTATGGTGCTTAACCCAAACTATCACCACCACTTCCGCCACAGACAGAAGCATGTCAATGTGCTTGCATTGGGATGGGATGAGTTGTTGAAAGGTCACAGGGCTGGTTGACTGCACAGTAAAAATGAAATATGCTGCAACACCCATGTGTAGTGATGTTACATCACTGGTCAGTCCAGCCCACACTGACACTGTTCTTCAATCACTGTGCCATGAAATTGTGATTGTCGCATGCCTGGGTACTGCTGGCTTGCTGCTGGCTACCATTGACATCTCCATATTGTCTTAGTGCTGAACAGAGCGACCTTGCCTGTTTCTTTGGACTTGCCAGAAAGCTGGTACCCTACTGATCTACCCATATCAACAAAATATTTTAGTACCTATTATTATTGTTTTTTTTACAGCAGCAGTAAAATTGCTCTGGACCATCTTTTTGGGCTCTATCTTGACTGAGCAACCATATAAACTCAGCACCTGCCTATCCTACTCCCAGAAATCATGTTACCAAGATGGGTTTATATAGCCTTGCTAATATGTCAGTTGCCATAGCCAATGATTTTGCAAATCAAAATGATACTCTCTTTCCATGTGACTGTTTTCACTCACATTTTCATTATTTTCAGGCTGAGACATGGGATCATCTCAGAGCTCACTTAACTTCTCAGAGAAGCCAGTGGATGCTCACCAGGTAGGTGCAGAAGATGTATAAACTAACTGCAGTATCTACATGGATGTTGGAGTAGGTAATAATATAAAAAGTTTTAGATAAGTAGAAATGTTATAGTGCATCAGTTTCATTTGAATGTTTGTACAGGGACCCGCAGTTGCTACTGTACAGCGACCCCGAGTAAATTGTCCCAGCACCCTCACAGGGAACAACGATAAGCTGTCAGAGGGCAAGCACAGAAAACCTCAGCTGCTCTTGTACAGGGACCGGCAGTCGATATCAATGTTATCGGTTGTTACTGGACAGGACAGACGGTTAGACTTGGGGTTCGTGTACAGTAGCAACTGCGGGTCCCCGTACCTAATACCTATCTGCCAGTTGTTTTAAGAGTTTGAAAAAATCCAGTCCAACAAGCACATGCCATAGAAGAGCTGGACCTTTTTTGCATTTAAGTCAAATATCTAGTTGGTTTGGTACAGTGTTAGTGCTTGTAAGGCCATTCTTGACTGCACTTCCATCTTGTGTCTTTGTGTCTTTTATGTCTTTGTGTCTTTATATGTGTCTTTTATTATGTGTCTTATATGTGTCTTTTATTATGTGTCTGTCCTGTTACCTGTGCCCATCTTACTCGACAGCACGGTCCTAGCCATGGACTTTTGGGGGGGCTGTGTGATTATGTGCTTGACCGATTTTCGAGGCGACCAGCTGGTGAAGGGTGAGGGACTTGGTATGACAGTGTTGGCGATTCAGAGCTTCTTATGCCACTATTATACTCTGGTGGCGACTCGATCCCTGTTCGTTTCCTGCAGTAGGATGAGTATGTGCGAGTAATGTGCGACTGTGATGTTACGTTCCAGATTGGTTTTGGATTACGTGTCGCCGGATTCCCCATGTCTCAGCTCAGTCAGATATCGCACGTATTGGCAGTTTTACAGCGGCCCGCTAAGGGATAGCTGGGAGGGGATCGATTGGACCCCCCCCCCTCATATCCGTTCGGCCCCCGATCAAGCTAAAGCTTTGTGGAAAAAACGAACGAATTGCCCGTAGCGAGTGGAAACCGATGGTAACCAATTTTAGGGTTCTAGGTCATTGGTTCACCTCCCAGGTCACGTGAACGGCTCAAACATTGGTGAACTTGGGAGTTTGGGACCTGCTAGAATTTCTTGTAATGAGCTGGTCTGTATGTATGTGGATATTTTGGGGTCCTTACTTTGATTTCTCATTTGTTTGTTGAAAGACGATGTATAGGTATGTGCACTTGAGGCTGGTCGGGTCAGATCAGGTTATTCAATAGGCTTTTAGCTGCTATCAATAATAGATGTGTTCCACCACTGATAGCTTCACGGCATGCTGTATAAAAACCATAACTGCCTAGTTTTCAAACGCTCAAACGAGTGTTTAATTCAGCATTAGCTCCAAAAGGTACATTCCTACCAAATAGTATCCCAAGCCACTTCAGTTAGCTAAAACGCTGCGCGGTGGTGACGTACACTCTACGAGTATATGTGCCGACCCCTCCCCAGCCTCGTACACAGAGGGAGGGGCAGGCAGATGAGTGCCCGGCCGATCAACTGACCACCTATCGGCGCTCGCTGCGGAGGCGCTGTGGTGTTCTCACGGCCCCGGCCATCTGGGTCAAGTGGCGGTCGCTGTCGGCCTCTCCACAGTCCTCCACACTCGGCAGTGGCTCAGCGGCGCCAAACGGACCGCTCCCGTCCCCACGGCCAGTGCGCAGGTCCCTCACAGTGAATCACTCACCGTGAAGGGTCAGACAACAGGGCGCACTCAGTGAGACCAAATCAAGCCACTCTTTTCAGCGGTTGAAAGCATGCCTCAGCCTTGCACGTTGTAGCGTAGGGAAATGTTTCATACCGTCTTCCAATCCGCTCGTTTCTCCAGTCGTATTTTGAGAAGTCAGGCTTGGCTGTGGTGGTAGTAGGGGGCTAAGTCTGCCCTGGTGCACCGGAGCTCCTTCTGTTGAATACGCCACCGAAAGAGGCGGCGCCAAAGGGTTAAGAGGTAGTTCCTCTGCCTTCTAAGTGTAGTTTTTCGACTCTGTTCTGGATTGGGAATCCTTTGCTGCCACCCTTGAACATGTATTTTGTCTACTCGTCCTCATTGATTTATTCTTCTCACGCGCCTGCTCGTTTCAATTTAGGAGGCTGATGAATCCCAATGCTTAATTAATGAGCACGTACGCTGTACAGTGCAGCACGTCATGCATGCACTGGTAGTTTCTGGTTCTCCCGCTAGATGGCGGGGAGGTCGCCGCACGATAGTGGCTCCTAACGTCCTATATAACGTCAGGGCACTGATCGCCCAGCAGTTCCGTGAATTGGTGAACCGCGGCTGACAACAGAGCGGCGACTGACGTGCTAACGGAGCCGTGACTCTGAGTCGAATCGAACTTCATAGGACGAACAGGTAGGGCCGACGCTACTCGGTCATAGCCACTGGGCGGGGTGCGCCGTGACCCCGAATTTCGTCACTTCAACTTGCCTTTAGGGGCGAGCCTAGCAGACAGAAGGCATCTCGTTTGTTTTAGCCGCCGTGATATAGATTTACCCTGCTGTTACAGTTCACTGTCGAGGCCTTTGCTTGTTATGGCATTTCCTTTGGAGAATGGAGACTCGCCAGGGACTGCTTTTGAAGTCTCTGCCCTCTGGAGTACTGAGATTAAATCCTGGCCGATGCTTCTGTGCCTATTTAGCAACCCTCCTCAGTGCAAGTTCGAGGTTTTCCAAGTGCACTGCAAACCCCGGTGTAAGATGTTATTTCTATATCCGATGTCCGATAGTGACATCGTCTTTCAGCGACGTATTCCTGATGCAGGTGAGGCACGCTTGTGTGCTTGTGTGTATTTTCCCTTTTGCTGTTGTTACATAATCCATAACAATAGCAGTGAATGAAAGCCTTCTTGTTGCCCTAATGTCCCTACAATATTATTCAATTTGAGTTATTGCGAAAAATAGGTCGTATTAAGATGTTCTGCTCAGGCCCAAAGAAATTAAAAGGCTTCATTTTTGCAAGGATTCATCATGTGGCGTACCGACTACCTACCATAATCATGCTTACATAATGAGCATAATGAGCAATCATGCTTACATAATTGCATACCATAAATACTTACATAACCAGTGGGCACTGCGTGCCGGTTACGCTGGCTGTGGCCGCCGGGTTTAGTCGGAGGAGCCCGGCTGCTGGTCCGTCGGTACTCGTTCGGTTCTCATTAGGTACGTGTTCGAGGTACAAACCAGTCCGCGATCAAACCCGTCGCCGAGGCCCGTGACGTTTTTCGTAGAGACATGGACATGACTGAGACGCCAACACGCACATGTCAAGGGAGACACGTTTACTTATAGGGGCATTCCACGTCAAATCAAACACCGAAATCCGTCATCCCCTTCGATTTTTCTGAAAATTTGTAGGCAGACTGGGCATGGTTCAAAACTGAGTTACGTATAATATTTTCGAAATTTGATAACGTATCGCCGAGATATAGGTCATCGAATATAGCCAAAAATGCCACACATCATTTTTTTAAATGCTTATAACTCTGGTTCCTTTTCTGGTATCAAAACGATATTAACAGGGTCTTGTAGGCAATTGATAAGGCTTTGATTTTTAATTATAAAATAAAATTGAAGTGACCTTGAAATGCATTTGACCTTGAATTAAAACAGAAAAATTTAAATAGGAAAAAACACGCCACCTTCGATTTGAGTAATTTTTACATATTATGTCCGTCACAATGTTCCTAACCATCTGTGAAAAAATTGGAGTGGGCCATTCATAACTTTCGCGGCAAACGCCGTTTTCATGCATCAACATCACGCAACCGCGCGTGACCTTGAAAGACAGAGTCAAGACATGCTTGCTTGTGTACACTTTCTGAAATGAATGATTGCTGATTAGTGATATCCCAAACTCTGCGAGAATGGAAATGCATAGTCATCGTAGTCAAGCATTCACGTTCCATTGTAAAAGTGTCTCAGGCAAACGGTATTTTGCGGTGAATTTTGAGCCGTGTGGAAATGCATCATGAAATAAATTCAACGAAAACATTATCACGCAACGATATCTTCACGTCTTTTGATCTTCACTATACGAAAGAACATACATTTTTGAGTATGTATGGATTTCTATGTATGAATTTCTAGTTAATCCGATAATAAATATGGCAGTTAGAGTCCTGCTAAGAGTAACATGTCGCCGGCTGAGGCGGGATCGGCCGAAGCGGGAAACGCAGCAGTCACAATTTTGTGTTTACACGTTCATATTTCAATTGTTTACCAACCTATTTTCAGAATTCTTTCACCATAAGATTGCCTGTACATTTCTTAGTCTTCTCACAAAATTTGACGCGAATCGAACGTAATCAGCGGTAAGGAGCGCGATGTAAAGACGGAACCGTTCCGTTCCGTCCCGGCACAGTCTACAATTCAGGCGGCGCGTAGCGGTCGGCGCCGGCTGCCGAGTCGCCGCGTCGCCGCGGCGACAGGATGTTCACTTTACACCGCTATTACTAGAACAGTTGTGAACCGATTTTCTTATTGCTTGCACGATGAGATGTGCAATTCAATTCTGGCCAGGTAGCCATAAGTAATTTCGCATCAATATTATGAGATATTGGCGAAAAACAGGAGGGGTGGGGCGAAATTCACTCTTCCCCCTCCACTGCGCTTGCTAACATACGTTTGCATAAGTGCCATTTTCTTCAAAACTTATGAATGGCCCACTCTAATTTTTTCACAGGTTGTTAAGAATATGGTAGGCAATAAAATATATGAAAATGAGCCAAATCGAAGGTGGCGTGTTTTTTGCTATTTCAATTTTTGTGCTTAAGAACAGAGTTAAGCAAATTTCAAGGTCATATATTTAAGTCGATGCAATTCTAAACAAATGCTTAAGAAATTACCTAAACAGTAAAGTTTATTTCATTCAAATCAAACAAGTACAACCAAAGTTATGGTCGTTCAAAAATATAAAGATGCAACATTTTGTAAAAATTTGATGCCCTATATTTAGAAGACCTGTGGTCAGAATGTGCAAAAAACATCAATGTAATGTCCGGGGCGACACAGGAACTCGCTCACAAATTTATAATGAAATCGCTGATGGTAAGGGGCAAAACAGCCGATTTTTGTTCGATTTGACGTGGAATGCCCCTATACAGAGTTTTCCCGGTACAGACATTTGGAGCCGTTTTGGTAGCTCGGTTAACATTCACGGCCCACATTCACCGTTGTCCTATCGGGCTGTGGGCGAGTGCGCGGCTAGTTAGTTTCCATCTCGTGCAGGAGCTGCTGCGCTGCAATGGGGCAATGAATACGCGCCCTGCTGGGGGCGGGCGACCGTTCTCGGACGGCGGAGCCTCTGACCGCGGTCGGTGGGCGTCACTGACCGTTCTCTGGGACCTCTGGCTCGCTCCCGCTCCCGCCGACACCAGCGCTGGCCACGAAACGACGGTCCACCGCCGACCCTGACTACGAAAGGCCAGCCAGCCCACCGTGAGCCCTGACTACGAAAGGTCGTGATGAGCACGGGGCGACAGAGTGATGACCCCACCGCGCGGGTCCGGGCCGCCCGGCACGCGAATACGGTTCATATTCAGTCATGTTTAGTGTGCATCTGGGTCGTTCACTGCACGAATCTGCTCAGGCTGCTCAGCCGGCACGCGAAACACGGCTCGTGTTCAGTCCGTTTGTTGTGGATCTGGGTCGCTCGCTGCTCGATTCGACTCAGACAGTGAATTAAAATGCCGGTTGATGTCAATTCAGGGCTGCGGAGTCGATGAATTTACGGCGACTCCGACTCCGACTCCGACTCCGGCTTTCAAAAACCAACTCCGACTCCGACTCCGACTCCGGGCAGAAATGTCGACTCCGATCGACTCCAACTCCCGACTCCGACTCCGCACACCTGGCAGGGCTGCGGAGTCGACAGATTTTCGGTGACTCCGACTCCGACTCCGGCTGGGGTTTCCAATATCGACTCCGACTCCGACTCCGGTCACAACTGTCGACTCCGACCGACTCCGACTCCGACTCCGACTCCGACCGACTCCGACTCCGACTCCGACTCCGCAGCCCTGGATGTCATGCGAGTTTACAAAGCTTTTTTCTGTCTTATGCTCGCATTGAAACCCGTATCTGCGCTTCGGCATTCGATCAAGCGTTGACGGTATTCTTATTTTATTTTGTTTTATATTATTTTGCAGCTAAGCAGACGTTGCCATAGAATTGCTGAGCTAATAACTAAACCTTCAACCTCAGCTTTGAGTATCGGAGGCGGCGTTTCAGCTGCTTGCAAATGAGCTTGTTCTCTGAAGGAAGTGTCAATTAGTGTCAATGGCGGCCGCCAGCCGGATCTCTGTTTATGATCAGGTTCTTTTACGTCGCTTCTGCGAGTCGTCGGTGATGGGAACTCGTGACGCACTATTTCCTCGACTTTCCTCCCCACAGTGCGTCTTTGTTGTGTCGTCATCTTGTCCGTCTCAAATTCCTGCAATGTCTGTCGTTAGTTCTGTGCCCTTTGTGCAATCGCCCCGTGACAAAACTTCCAGGGGCTTCGTTATGACTTCATGCTTTGATAATGTTATCATCAGGTGTTGTGAGCGACTGGATGAACCAGGATTCACAACGATCCTGTAGTTACTTTACCTTTGCTGTTCCTAGTCGGGCTGTGACGGCTACTGCAATGCAATAGTGCTTCCAATATCTCCCCCGCATTTCTTTAGTGCGTCAGGTTCTCACACAAGCTCTAACATTGCATGCCACCTTGTCCATGCCTACACCAGGTCATAAGGGAACAAAAAAGTGTTATATTGTTTCAAACCGTAGCGAGCTGTCGTTTGTTTCTTTCATTTTGTCATGTTCAGCTCAACTTATTCAGTGCATCAGTAATAATTATATAAGAAGTTGATAACTGAGCGAAGTGTTGTGCAATGTGCATTACTTAGTAGCAGGTATAGGAAGCGGGCGCAAATATTCTTCCTTACCCACGCCTCCCTTTTCACGGAAGTCAAATGGCCGTTCTCGTAAGTGCGTGAATCCCCCCCCCCCCCCCAATGACCTCCTTACCGCCGCTCTTCTCATTCGTTTCTGCACCTCAAATGAGGGATTCCTGTATAATCTGATTACAAAGTCCAACAAACTTTTGGCATGGAGTGTAGTCTCTCTTGAACGTATCGCGTCTCGAAAGTATCGCTATCTCTCCCCGGTTTCAGCGCCCCTGGCTTTTGAGGGTTGGCTTGGCAGTCTGGCCGACCTATGCCGTTTTCACAATTTCACGGGCCAGCCAGACGGCCAACCCTCAAAAGCCAAGGTTTGTCAAACCAGGGAGCGACGGCGATACTTCCGAGACGCGATACTTTCAAGAGAAACTTTACACTGAGATAGAGCTAGCGGACTTGGAGTTGACTGTTTCTGACTGACTTCAGCGGGATGTTAGAGTCCAGCACCTATCAAACGCCTCCGGTGAAACGCGGTGACGCGGGTCGCGTAAAAAAGCAGAGGAGGGAGGGGCGACCTTTGCTGCCCGCTGCAGTAGTGGCGGAACACCTTCAATAAGGGGGGGGGGGCACTGCTGACTTTTGGTCCCATTCTTTCCATGCAACGCCCATAGGGCTAATGATAAAATGGCAAAATCAAAAGGGGGCACGGTGCCCTGGTGCCCTCCCCGTTCCGCCGCCTATGGCCCGCGGCAGAGGGAGGGGCCCATTTCTGCCTGCTGCGGAGCCGGCGGGGAGGGGCCATTTCTGCCCGAGATTGAGCGGGGACGAGTCGCCGGTGTGGGACAGGGACGACGCCACAGGTGTTCACGGAACGCCAGAGGCATTAGCGGGAGGTGTTGACTGTGTCTGCTCTGTGGCGAAGTGTCGGAGGGCCACTCTGTGGTGAGCGCCCCGGGTCATCGGTGTTGGGTCCGCGTGTCTTGATAGGTGCATAGATCGCGGCGTCTGCAGGGTGACCGATAGTCATGGACTACATCAGCGTGTGGCTGTCTGATAATTAGTTTCTCCGTCCCATGAACTAAAATTCTAATGCCATTTACGATCGCTTCAGGTCGTTACCAGCGTTCAATAATGTTCAATCACGTTAATTTGTTGGAACGATGCAAAGTCGATCTGATCCTGTTGAATCTACCTGATTAGTCGGATTTCGTTCAAATTATGCTGAGTAAATTCCTGCCGGAGGGTGGTCGGCTCTTCGTTGCTATTGATCCTATCCTATACCCTCCGCCCCTGTTGATAATAGCCGACAGCCTGATGCCATTGGCGGCCTCCCATCTCTATTGATGCCCCAACGCTAAAGTGCTGGTCGGTGTCGTCCTCTGCTAGCCTGTATTTGCGTTCCGCTCATCGATATTAATTCGTAGTTTCCCACCTTTATCGACCCAGCTAGGTAGTTCCCCGTTTTTGCAGGCTCTCTATGTATGTCAGTCCCCACTGCCCATCGAGGTTCGCCGTGCTTTTCGGCACCAGTCAAGAAGTTTACCGGCTCTGTCTTCTGTGCCGATCATTCCTGCTGTCCCCCCTCTGTCTCACCGACTCTGTAATCTCTGCTGGTACCGACCCCTTGCTCCTTTGTGTGCGCTGTTAGCACTGCCGTTCTGACGTGTGTTGTCCCCGCCGTCAGCACTGCCGTTCTGACGTGTGTTCTCCCTGCTGTCAAGTGTCAGCACTGTCGTTCTGACGTGTGTTGTCCTTGCTATTAGCACTGCCGCTCTGAAGTTTGTTCTCCCCGCTGTTAGCACTGCCGTCTGGTGTTCTGAGTTGTGTTCATCCCCTGGGGTAACTGCCGCTCTGATACGTTCTCTCCCTTCCCAGCCAGCAGCCATGGACGTGGAGCGGCTGCGCGCCGATCTGAAGGAGGCCGGTCAGGAGCACCTACTGCAGTTCTGGCCGAGCCTGGAGCCCGAGCAGCGCCAGGCCCTCTATGAGGACATTACGAGGTGAGCCGGCACGGACGTCTCTCTCTCTCTCTCTCTCTCTCTCTCTCTCTCTCTCTCTCTCTCTCTCTCTCTCTCTCTCTCTCTCTCTCTCTCTCTCTCTCTCTCTCTCTCTCTCTCTCTGTCTCTGTCTCTGTCTCTGTCTCTGTCTCTGTCTCTGTCTCTGTCTCTGTCTCTGTCTCTGTCTCTGTCTCTGTCTCTGTCTCTGTCTCTGTCTCTGTCTCTGTCTCTGTCTCTGTCTCTGTCTCTGTCTCTGTCTCTGTCTCTGTCTCTGTCTCTGTCTCTGTCTCTGTCTCTGTCTCTGGCTCTGGCTCTGGCTCTGGCTCTGGCTCTGGCTCTGGCTCTGGCTCTGGCTCTGGCTCTGGCTCTGGCTCTGGCTCTGGCTCTGGCTCTGGCTCTGGCTCTGGCTCTGGCTCTGGCTCTGGCTCTGGCTCTGGCTCTGGCTCTGGCTCTGGCTCTGGCTCTGTCTCTGTCTCTGTCTCTCTCTCTCTCTCTCTCTCTCTCTCTCTCTCTCTCTCTCTCTCTCTCTCTCTCTCTCTCTCTCTCTCTCTCTCTCTCTCTCTCTCTCTCTCTCTCTCTCTCTCTCTCTCTCTCGTATTTTATCTGTCTCCTCTACCCATCCATCTTGCTCTCTGTTTCCATCCTTTTCTCTCCCTTTCTCTCCCTCACTGTCCATTTTTTCTCAATCATTTGCATGTCACACCGGTATGTATCGCCAGCTGGCTCCTGGTGGCGTGCTTTATGTGCTGCTGTTGACAAAAGCTGTTGAGTTCAGATACGGTATTAGCAATGGAAGGACGGGCTTGCGCAGCTGTGAAAGACTCGGTTGTGAGCCAGTAACTCACCTCGGAGCACAATTGGATGAGTTTGTATTGGTGACGTTTTTGCAGTTTATTTAGGTCCACCTTTCATGTGAAACATGTTTTTGATAGATAACAGTAAAAAATACTCAAACCTTCTTGACTTCTTGATAAACGCGTAGATCCGCATATTTTCTAGTCTGTGCAAACACACTTGATAGCAGTGTGCGATTATCTGCACCGGTGGTCTTGTTTTGTGCTCGATCACACGGCCAGCAATCTGGTCTGTTTGTGTTCACGCCCTCGATATCATGTCATCTCCTCTCCGGGTAGATAGGTACCGAATAAATGGGCCCAACCGATAAATGTCACTGGACATTTTCCTACGAGTGCCTTAATTGTTTTAAATCTGTTTTGTGTAACAATTCGAATTCTTTCGTTTTAGTCATTTTTGGCGCAGTTTTCTAACGCTTACAATACACAACAGGAGAAAGTTATAATAAAAACATTCGGACCTTTATTTGGTTGCGGGCCATCCAACTGCTCGTCCCTGCCCCACACAAACAATAAAACTGATGTCAGCTATGCTGCGACTTAACGCATCAACCAAGGCGCCGCTAACACCCACTGCCTTAGTGTCCTATCCTTCTACTTCCGTGACCGCCTGTACGCCGTAACCGCCCGTCTCGCCGTCCCGGGCCGCCCGTGCCCTCGCTGCTCTGTCTCCTCTGCCGCCGATGTGACCTAACCACCCTTCTCTCCCTCCTCACCCGTCTGTGCCCGTGCTACTCTGTCTCCTCTGCCGCCGCTGAGACCTGACCACCCGTCTCTCCCTCCTCAGCATGGACCTGCAGGAGGTGAACGCCTTCTACCGGCGCACGCTGGACGAGGCCGAGGACCAGGAGAAGCTGGACGACAGGCTGAAGCCGGTGCCGGCAGAGGTGTTCGGATCGGTGGTCCGCTCCTCCGCGGAGCAACTGGAGGCCTACCGGCGCACAGGTACGGATAACACGCTATCGTGCTAAAAGCAGCCTCCGTTTACTGTCATTGCTGTGCCATTTTCTGTATCCACTGCCGCTTGCATTTCGCTACGATGTAATAGTTTTACCGCCTTATGCTTTGCATTTGGGTGTAGATTCTACATAAGTGCACTGTTCACGCTCGCTCTGCACTATTGCGCCGTATTCGTTTCAAGTACTGTTTGAAGTTGCTCGCATGGAGTGTCCAATTGAGGCTGAGTTCAGTTCAAGCGCAGATTGGGGCCCACGCCGGGTCTCAATGCTGGCACAACTCAATGTATGGCGTTCAGTCCTGGCCACTGGCCACCGGCCGTGATCAGGGCACCTGCGTCGTTGCGGAGATACCCGTGTAGTTGGTGTCGAGTGTTTGACCAACGCCCTGTTGTGAAATGTCTGGCGGCGCAGAAGCGGGTCACGTTATCGATTTAGCGCGGTTGACCGGCGCGCGGGCCGTTCTTGGTAATGTGTGATCGGTCTCATCCGGCTCACTCCGTCAGGCGAGCCTTCAGGTGGCCAATTCCCGCGCTGACAGATGGCCGCCGGCCAGCTGAGCGCTTCCAGTAGACTGGCTGGCTATTGATGCCGGTGGTAATTGAGCTCGGGCGGCCGGGTGCAGTAGGTAAAGGTCGGTTCACACCGGACGGTAAACGGGTAAAGGTCGGCTCACACCGGATGGTAAACGGGTAAAGGTCGCCTCACACCGGACAGTGGATGGGTAAAGGTCGGTTCACACCGGATGGTGAACCGGGAAAGGTCGCCTCACACCGGGTAGTAGACGGGTAGAAGTCGGCTCACACCGGACCGCCGCATGATGAAATCAAAAGCTGCGGGATGTCTGTGCCGAAACTTGTGGTGGGCCGGGGCAAAATGGACTCAGTATAGCACGCAAGGGAAGTGGAAGAATAAAGTACCTATACTTACAAATGGATTTCCACCCTACCCTACTCCGTGATGGGGACGCAATAAGTCGCGAATAGGTACTTATCACACAAGGTGTGTTTTTCATTTTAAGACCAGCTTCATTGGTCAGAGTTGACAGACTACCGGTGTCGCCTCATCTAGCCTCATGTCTACCACTGGAGTTCCTTCGTCCGAGCCGTACGCTGCGAACGCCCACTGTTTGATCAAAGTAGGTATGCCGATGAGCTATGTAGTTGCGTGAACGTACTCCAATCACCAGAGGCCATCTGACGAGCATGTATGGCGTATCATTTACTTTTATGTCTTTTACCTTTTCTTTTAGTCTTGCATACTACAGATATCGTGTCTTTATGACAGAGCATAACGCATGAAAAGTTTTGTCCCGGGCGTGTAACTTTTCGCTTGCTTCCTACTTTTCTAAACTATGCTGCTTGGCTGAAGAGTCTGAGATAATCCGACGATCACCTGTCGTCGCGTCAACCACCAAACCGAACAGGCCGTGACGACAGTCGAGACCGTCACGCGCCGTGACACAGGTGGTGGCGTGACGCGTCTCACGTATCGATCGTGTTACGACCGGGCCCGCGCCCTGCGTCACGCTCGGAACTGCCGGGGCTGCCGCTGGGCCAGCAACAGACGCGGCATGCCCCACTCGGCGCCGGAGACATTGGATTACTGCGACACGCTGTAAAGCGGCGATCCGTACGGCGTTATTTATAGATTGTCGCCATGCCACCGGTTTTCATGTGGACTGCACTACTGTTGCTGACAGACGAAATGGTCATTAGTGTTGTATTAAATGTTACGTTTGAAAACGCCCAGGTTTGTTTGTTGGTTGCTAGATATCTTGAAACAAATTTAGCTCGAATTTTTCGATGGATGCTATAGCAAAGCCAGACTTTTTGGCGAAGAATGTGCAAGCATGTTTCTCTGGCAACCCCACCGCACGATATTTGTCGCCGCGCATTATTATGAAACGGCACCTTAAGCAGTACGAATATGAGTTAATGGATTGAGACATAAATATTTCTGCAATTTAAACGGCGCATATGTCCTGTGAATTGGGCAAGATTCATCGGTAGTCAGTAACATGTCCAATCCATTGTCCATCAATATCTGGGCAGATGCTACCAAGGTACGAGTTTCGTACCTGCACCATATTCCTCACCTGACTTGTCAAATAGGTGCTCCGGGCTCCCTCTGCACAAATCAATCAATAAAGGAGTGATGAAATACATATGTAAATGAAGAAATAATATAAAGTGAATAAATGAAGTAAATAAGTTGATGAATAAATAGGTGAGTTATTATGATGGATATTAGACATCCAATTGTACGCGCCACTGTTCGGGCAACTGAATTAAGATCGCACGGGCACCTCGGGAAACCGCTCTCCCGCATCTTCCCCTTTCCCTTTCGGGTAGCTCAAGAGACAATTATTCTCGCTGTCCTCCAGGACAACTCTTGAAATTGTCATTCGACAATTTTCCTTCACTGCCTCCCGGCACAAAGCTCTGGGATCCATGACATTATTTATCATCGTATACAGATTTGTAGACTGTTCTCCGACGCAATGTTCTCCTCTGGCAGGTCTGGGACCGTTCCACGGCCCCTCGCTCCCTTCTCTAGCTTACGGTTTATAAGAACGTCCCCTGACACCCCCACCGCTGACCGTTGAAGACCTTGACTTATCCCCCCCCCCTCCCCTCCGACAGGTCTGGACTTGGAGGCCGTCCCCTGACTGACCCCCCTCCCTCCGACAGGTCTGGAGGCCGTCCCCTGACTCATCCCTTCCCTCTGACAGGTCTGGAGGCCGTCCCCTGACTGACCCCCTCCCTCTGACAGGTCTGGAGGCCGTCCCCTGACTGACCCCCTCCCTCCGACAGGTCTGGAGGCGGTCTCTGACTGACCCCCGCCCCTCCGCAGTGTGGCCAAATTGGCAATGTTGTGGGGAAATCCTCCCCTAATGAAAAGGATAATGACATCCTAAAAATTGGGAAAAAGACATCCTCACGACTTTTTCACTTAAATATATCATACTGTTCTGCAAGCATCAATGTGTTTGGCAACTTCTTGCTAAGTCATAAAATACCTCTGTCTCAATGAGCGCCAATTTGAATATAGGCATATACAATGTTAAGCAATATTCATATTCTTATGTTCTGGCAATATTGATATAAAATATAGGTCGAGGTATGAATGCAGCAACTGCAAGACGTATGGAAGAAGACAAATGCAAGACCGAGACAGCATGGCATTAGCAGTTGATATCAGCATGCTGATGCTGCATGGGTGATGTGATTGTGACAAAATAAAAACTGCATTATATTCCAGTGTCTTGACTTTTGGAGCTGAGTTTGTACCTACCAAACAACATGCACAGGTTTGGTAAGGTAATCACAAATTGAATTGTACAAACAACTAGGCTATTTCAATTTCAATTTCAATCGATGCTCACCCAGCGCAGATACAGCATATAGCCTTGGACCAGACTCGGATTAATATACAATAGTTATCAATTGATCGCAAAGAATAAAAGCAAAACTAAGCTCAAACACAACCACTGAAAATCAGGATAAGCACAAACCCCTCGGACACAACACTAATACATCCACAGCGTCCACAACACAAGCAGTCGTTCGAGATTCAAGGCCATCAAAGACACAATAATCCCCTGTTGACTCTTCATACATCATGCACCACCGCCCTGGCGTGCTTTGTTCAGCCTGTGACGTCACCGGTGGCCAAAAAGGAAGTCGTTATCGGGAAGTCAAAATCCCGAAGGAAGTCGTTATTTTCCCCCTAACAACCCCTAACTTATCATGAGGACAGCACCGCTGATCGACCAAACCAAGACGAGAAAATAAGATAATACGAAAGAAAATGAAATAATACATTGCATACGCGGTCATTTTCTTGGAAAATTTGCGAAATGCTTGTTTTTGAGCCCAGTAAACTTCCGTCATTTTCATGCGAAAAAAAAACCCTGATTTTGCGGAAAAAAAATGGCTTATGAAGAAATGAAATTGTTAATTCCCAGGCTCATTTTACGAGCTAAATGTTATACAAAGTGAAAGAAAATTGATGAATTATGCCCACTTATGCATCAAAACTGATATTAAGCCCACAATACTCTATTTTGACATGTTCAAATATAATGACATCCTTCGCCTGTTTTGGCGAAATTCTACCCCTAACAACCCCTAACTTCAACTCTTCGCCAAACTGTGAAAAACCATTTTTGTGATTTGGTATTCACATATATCATGCTCCATTGATTTCCCTACAATATTATCATCATTTTACCGGCTGTATTGTCTTAATTTTCACGTTTGGCTGGCTTTCGTGAGCCGCTGTTTTAGGGATGTCGGAAGTTTTTCTGCCGAAAATCTCTGAAATCGTGTGACGTAATACGGAGGCCGCGAAGTTCGACAGGTGCGTCGAGATTGATAATCTTGTACAATATTTTGTAGACGAGGAAAACCGAAACATTTGCTCCATACAAACGATTCGAGAAATTAAATTGAATAGACAAGCAGTGTTGTGTTGTGGCCTTGTTGCCTTATTTCAGTATTTGATAGAAGCGTAATAGAACTGATAGCAATACTTGCAAGCTATTAGTCAATAAGGTACAGGGACCTAAGACCTTGATCCTGGAAAGATCTCAATTAAAGTTGGGATGATGTTGGTCTATGCATGCACGTTTGTTATTTGTAGGTGGAGAGCGTAGACTGAGATTGCTTTGGAGAAGCATGGAACAGGAACACAGCCTCAGGTAAGAACGTTTCTCAGCATTTCGAGCCTTTAGCTCTTGCCATCATCAGGAATCCGCAACCGAACCTGGATGTTGAGCTCATTCACAAATATATAAGGCATCAGTTAAAATTTCATTTGTGTGCATCTGTTATTTTATCTGATTTGATACATTCATATACTTCAAAAATACATATTACCTAAAAACAACAACCAACCAACAATCAGAACTCAGAAGAAATTTCCAGTGATGTTGGCTGGTTCCGTTAAGTTAATTATTAATATTTTGGATTAGCACCTCAGCAATGACATTGTCATTGCTAGTAAAAATCCTCCAGTTTCAAAGATATTTCATTACCAGTTACCACCCATCTACTCTGTGCATTCTGACTGAAAGAAATGTAGGCATCTGGCCAGATTCTTACAGATTGATATATATATAGGTATCTGGTATGATAAAATTTGGTTTATGTGTAGATAGGTTGTGGGCTTAAGGTTGTAGGTTGTAGGTAATAGGTTTTGAGTTGGGACAGCCAGGTTGAAAGTTTTAGGTTGGTAGGTAGCTAGGTTAGGTTAGATCAGGTTAGGTTATGTTCAAAATATTCACTGGACTTCATATTCACATTTACTAAAGATTTCTTATATTGAGGGGTGATCTGTTAATATTGGACATTTGATGAAATGTTAATGTGAAGGCAGATGTGATGGGTATGCAGATTTCATTACATCAATCATTGCTTTAGTGTGTGAAAAAATTTATGAAGAAAATGCATTCTGGCATTTGCAAACACCATTTGAACTATGATGATGTATTGAACTGCTTCATTCTGAAGCCTGATCTGATTCAGATGGGAAGTACCTAATCATTTCAGGGATTTGGAGCTGTGTGTAAATTTAAAGCGATCTACATTTCTAATTCAACATAACTAGGCACTTATTCATTGCAAAACACTACTTATAATTGCAGTGGTACCTAGGTGAGGGGTGTTTTAATTTATGAGGGAAATCCTGAGCAATATACATTATGAAATCTTTTCAACTTCACAACAACTGCATAGTACATTATGGCGACATCTATTGAGTAGGTTGTGGTGTTTACAGAGCCACCTACTGGCAGACGTCCAAAACGAAACAACCAAGACGCACCGTGCATTATGCGTTCAGACTCGTAATCGAACTGATTGGTGAATTGGCCCCAGTCAGTCACACCACCATTCGTGACTCGTGTGACTGATTTGTGAACCTACCATAGACTCCTTACCTGCAAAGCATGACAATCTCGATGAGATGTCGGCGTGAATGCACTCAGCTAGACGCTGGTGTGTTGTACAGCACAGCTGATCCGCTGTCGTGTGGTACGATTTTTTTTGTGCCCAACCAACATGGTATCGTGAACTTCGGTGTGAGACTGAGCACATACCCTGTTGTGCTAGGAAAAGGAAATGATAGGGTGAACTATGAGACCCACAACAGGTTGAGCAGGGAATAAATCGCCGTGTTTTTTTTTTTCCTTCAAACTCCATATCTGTTCTCCCGTAAATTTCCGACAGGTTGAAAAAAGCTTGAGAAAATACAGTGACTCGGTTTTCTGAAGTTTGTCTGTCTCAGCAGATCAAGCAATGTCAGAACAAGCTCACATGCTTGATACTTGATCAGGATCGAATAATTGATTGGACTTTTTAAATTGGATTTTTCGTGCTTCCGGGCAATTCACGGGAAGAAGATCAGGGTTTGGAAAAAACGCGTCGAAATGACCGGCTATGGTGTTTTCCCCTAAAAAGTGTGATAGGCTGGTAAATATTTTATGAGCTATTCAGTAATAGCTCTAGGTCTTGCTAGATGTAGGTGTGTTTTTCCAGCTCTGTTAGCTCTGTTAGAGTCCGTCGGGCTGGTGCGGACTCATCACCTTAGTTGGTGCAGCTCGTCGACATATGTTGTCTCGTCTGGATATGGATTTGCGATCTGGCCAGCGATATAACGGTGACAAAATGTGCTCATCTCATCCGTTCGACCAACTCTTCTAGTTCAGTGTTACCCAGCCCAAAAAAGATCGGCGATATGGACGTTTCGGTACCTTATTGCATTTTATTTTCCCCTCAGTTGCCGTTACTACACACAGTAATGAGTAAATTCATCGCACACATTGAACCCAAGATCACAGTTGCGGTTGGATTCTGGGATATGCACTAGGACATTAACCCGCGCCCCACTGGGGTCTGTGTATAACACGCCCTACTGGGGGGGGGGGGGCTATTCATAGCCCCCCCTCCTAACTCCGAAACTACTGGGCCGATCGTCAAAATTCAAACGGCGTCTGATAGCCCCGGAAAAACTGTCGAGCGAAACCTAATTTCATTGACCTCAAGGTCACCGATGACGTCACAGGTCAGGTCAAAGTAAAAATTATTAGCACTTTGGCTTGTTCACATTTTGGGCTCTGGCCGCCGTCTTACAAGTCAGATCAGGCTCATTTTTGGTTTCCACACTCGTGAACAGATGCTCTAGATACCTTGAGGGTACCAAACTTGTACCTTGATTTTCAGGTCAGGGTCAGGTCATCACAGGTCACGAAAATATTATATCATGCGTCGGTCACGTGACACATGTTTTATGGTCCATTTAGGCCATAGATTTCGAATTTGATGTCGTCTGTGTCATTCGAGATCATTTTGAGTCGAATTTAGCTTAGGTCAGGTCACTTTCAGGTCAAAAAAGGTCAAATTTTGAAGTTAAAATTTTTCAACAAAAAAGGTGTCTATTGGATGCAGTTTGAGCTCAGGAACACGATGCTGCCATTTATATTGGTGTACGATGTCAAATACGTACTGAAAAATTGATTTGAAAAATTAATAATTGTAAATTTTTTGCAATAATGCGTATAACTTGGCCATTTTTGAAGATATTTAGCTAAAACTGGCTAGAGTTAGTCATAATCATGCCTTCTGTCACATATATTCCGGTTTTTTTCGAAAAGTCAAAAACTTTTTGAAAAAAATATAAAAATATAAATTTTGAATATTATTATATAAAATTTTCGTAATTTTCAAAATTTTGAAAATCCGAGATAGCAGTTTGATAGCGCGGTCAATTCTGAGTCCTTTCATGCAAAGAAATTGGATCTAGCTCAAAAACTGAGCTCTTGGGAGCGATTGCCGTGGTTCAATGTTTTGCGTCGAAATCGGACGAACATGACGTCACTCTGACGTCATTTCCGGCCGACCTATGGTAGCTACGAAGTTCAAATTTTGACACAAGGTGTCAAATTGATGCAGCCGAAGGTACTGAAAGTTTGGCGTCGATCCGTCAAGCGGTTTGGAAGTTATTGCAGAAAAACGGGAGGGGGGGCTATAAATAGCCCCCCCCCAGTGGGGCGCGGGTTAATGTCGAGGATGACATCGGGAGTTGTACTGGCTACTGGCCATATCGGTCAACATTTTATATTAGTGATAACTTTTCTTAGTTCTCATAATCGATGCAATTCTGATTCTTATACTGATGCAATGTTGATACAATAACTGATTCAGAAATGGTCGTATAGTCGATTAATTCGATTGATTCGAGAGTAACCTATTAAACACAGCACTATGCATTTACATTTTATAAAACGTGAATAGGTATGCAGTATGCGCAGCTGTATCTTCGGGGAGCAGACGTCGGTGTCCGAGGTCATCTGGCAGTAAGGATCTTGATGGATTCGTAGGTTCACGATGATGACAGGAGTGCTTGGAAATTGGAAGGCTCGCGATCTTCTTTCAGGAATGGATGAGGAATATGCCTGGAATAGAGTAAGGAGAATCAGCATCGGGAAGGTGGTGGTTGGCAAATGACCAGTGGCCGTTGAAGTTGTTCCTATTAAACGATTGTCTTAAAAAGGATTGCTATTTCTACATATGTATCACTGAAGTGCTTTCTTCAAAGATACATCAGTACTGAATGTTAGTAAGGCCATTTCCCACATTTTCTATGAAAATTAGAACTTAAAAAATCAGTAGACCATTTTTCAAAAAATAGTTACATCCTCTGGCGGCTTTTTTTCTACATCCTCCCCCAAACGCAAAATGAATTTGGCCACACTGCCCCTCCGACAGGTCTGGAGGCGGTCTCGCGCGGCGAGGTCGGCGTGCTGCTGCTGGCCGGCGGTCAGGGCACCCGGCTGGGCGTCAGCTACCCCAAGGGCATGTACAACGTGGGCCTGCCGTCGTCCAAGACACTGTACCAGCTGCAGTCGGAGGGCGTCCGCCGGCTGCAGCAGCTGGCCGGCGAGGTGACGGGCCGCGCCGGAGGCACCGTCACCTGGTACGTCATGACCAGCGAGAGCACCAAGGAGCCCACCGTGCGCTTCTTCGAGCAGCACGAGTACTTCGGCCTCAGCGCCGACGACCTGGTGTTCTTCGAGCAGGGCACGCTTCCCTGCTTCGGCTTCGACGGAAAGATCATCCTGGAGAGTCCGAGCCGGGTGGCGCGCGCGCCGGACGGTAACGGCGGCCTGTACCGGGCGCTCGAGCGTGAGAACATGCTGCGGGACATGGAGCGGCGCGGCGTCAAGTACCTGCACGTCTACTGCGTGGACAACATCCTGGTCAAGATGGCTGACCCCGTCTTCATGGGCTACTGCATCTCGCGGGGAGCCGACTGCGGCGCCAAGGTGGGTGGCCGACGCGGCACTATGTTTGGTGGGTGGCCGACGCGCTCACTGCAGTCTTGAGAAGTGTCTCAGATCTGTTAAGTATCGCTTTGTCTTAACTAGTAAATGATGAGCGCAGTGTTATTGAGACTCTTTGTTCATACTTTTTGCTCGGACTTTTTCTAAGCCACCCCATGCTTTTCCTCAGACTGTTCTTCCAAAAAGTCCTTAGGTATCACGATAGTCACTTCCGGTGTCACTAGGAGGACACAGTTGGCCGTATTCCGTGTACCACGTGCACCCACTGACCGCTGGTGACCGCTGGTGACGCCGGCCCAGGTGGTGGAGAAGGCCTTCCCGACGGAGGCGGTGGGCGTGGTCTGCCAGGTGGACGACCATTACCAGGTGGTCGAGTACTCTGAGATCACGCTGAAGACGGCGCAGAAGCGCAGCGCAGACGGCCGGCTCGCCTTCTCGGCCGGCTCCATCTGTAACCACTTCTTCACGCTCGACTTTCTGAAATACGTGGTCAGGTGAGTGGGAAAGGCGGGGACTGAATCAGATACACGAGTTCACGACACTGTCGTTGGTGAATATTGGTCGTGCTCTGAGTTATGCAATTAATGAACATTGATATCTTCATTTAACCCAAAAAAGCATTGCTAAGCTGCTGTGTTTCATTAATTTATTATCTATGCGTATAGAGCTTCCCGCATTTGATACCTAAATGTATAGTCGACTACAGAATGATGTTCCACTCCTCAGAAGCTATCAGCTGACCGGAGCGCTAAGTTGTGCCGTTTATCACGCGTTTATCACGCATTAAGCGTGTCGATTGTGAGCATTGGGACAAAGCTATAATTTGTGAACTCAGCCCGTGTGATGCGGCACAGCCTACCACTACAGGCAAATAATTGCCTGTGAAAAGTGAAACATCATTCTGTAGTCGACTATACCTATTGAAACACATTTCAGTATTTTCTTTCCCTTACGAGTGCAGGTGCGCTCGTTGTTGATTGCGGGTTCACTGACGTGCTCGCCGCACGCGGTCGTTGACGCCCCTCTGTCCCCCTCAGTGAGCACGAGAGTGAGCTGCTGCACCACGTGGCCAAGAAGAAGATTCCGCACGTGGACAGCGACGGACAGACGCAGAAGCCCGATAAACCCAACGGCATCAAACTGGAGAAATTCGTCTTCGACGTCTTCCAGTTCTCCAAGTGAGGCATGATTTGTAGTTTTCAGTCACATTTCAGTTCTTAGTTTATTACAGTTAACATCTGAATAACAAATTTACGTGTGCACCTATAGCTTTGAAGGTAAAGAATTAACCCGGCAACTCAGCAGCTCAGGAATTGTTCCAACACTTGATATTGAAGCATTTTTCAAGCAAACTGTTGGACAAGTGAAGTAATTACTTGCTGGGTGGCCCTTGCGACAGTGGTAAATAGTTATTTAGTCTGTATTTGGCGTCTGTATTCAGTCTGTAAATGTATTAGGCGTTGTAGTAGTACGTAAAAGTAATGTATGAGAAGCAGCAGGAAGCTCATGCTACATTAGACCCCTTATGGTAGCCATTCGCCATGCGTTTTGTGTAAAGCAGCTCTTGAAAAGCTCATCCTTAAGTCATTCATGCATCAAGAGACGAAGCGCAATTAAGTGGCTGATTATTAAACGTTCTGTAGAAGCTTGTTTCTACCAACCCCGTTCTCCGCTCCGCTCCCACTGCAGGAATTTCGCCGTGTGGGAGGTGCTGCGCGAGGACGAGTTCTCGCCGCTGAAGAACGCCGACGGCGCCGAGAAAGACACGCCGACCACGGCGCGGCTGGCGCTCTGCTCGCTCCACCAGCGCTACGTGCTCGCCGCCGGCGGACAGTTCGTCGACGACGACGGCAGGCCCATTCCGCTCATACCCAGGTAGGCCCATACTGCTGATACCCAGGTAGGTGACACTGGACTGGTCACTGGCCCATCCCGTTCATACCCAAGTAGGTCGATCCCAGTCAAACACTGACAAAGCCATCCTTCCCATGCCCGGTTGGGTAGTGGGCCTGGGCCCATCCCTCGTCCTATGCCCAGGTGGGTAGCAGTACGGACACGTGGCTGCTCACAACACCCACGATCCCTGTTTTAGTTTCCAGGCTCCCAGCGATAGCTTTCGTCTTCGTCAGCGTCCCTAGTCCCGCCCTTTCTAATTGTTATGTTTTCCTTTGTTTGAGACAGCTGGCCATCCTGATACGTACGGACCCAACACTCGCAAATCTGGTATAATCAATGCTTATTCGCTCTTAGAAACGCAAAGTTCAAGGAAACCTGCGCTGTCGTTAGCCCTTCCACGTCCGACCAACTTCAATCACTACGGAACCTCATAGATAGGAATAGATCCCTCTCTTGTTTAGCTTAGCCCCAAATTTGGTGCCAGGTGTTGTTGTTTTTGTTTTGTACAAATCACAGTAGAAGTCTGCTGGAAGGTACTCCGTCTGTATTATTTGAGGGCGCTCGATAGCCTACCGGTGCTGCAGCGCCCACCCAAAAGCTCCAACAACACACACACACTCCGTATGTATTTGTATCCTCCCACAATATCATATTTTGTTGCTGATTCTGTGTTTCACCTAACATGTTATAGTAGATTAGTTGCACTAGATTTCGTATTGCTCCTAAAATGCATGGCACAGTTTTTTTTTTACTCTTAGCATGGCAACATTCGTTTTTCCTCTCGCTGCTTTTTAGTTAGTTAGAAGCTTTTGTGGTGAAGCAAAGCCACCTTAGATGACGTGGTTATGCCTTTGGTGGTGTATTTTTTGCTAAGTCACGCTCGCCTCGCACGTGTCTGCTTGTCTCTGGACCCCCGTAGAGCGCTACTAACCTGCAATTGTCCGTTCGTAGCCCCGCCACCGGCAAACCAGAGGAGGCCAACAACAACAAGGGGTGAGTGGTCCCGGTTTAAAAACCGAGAAAAATAATGTTACTTTGAGATAAGATATTGTTTTTTTTTTTTTGTAATAGCTCAAAACATGGCTCATTTTTTTAATACTTGTCATAATAATACAAATATAATTTAGGATAACCGGTTGGCTGTAGCGGTGGTGCGGGTGGCGCGCTATCGCCCTCACGTCTTCGCCGGTGTTATGTTAGAGGACCAACGCAGCTTGTAAAGGGTGCAGCGCGCTGAAGCCGGTAGATTTTGATGTTATCCATGGTATTATCCTAGGATCAGTTATATTCAACGTTTTTTCTTCTTTCTTTGCTATTTATGTACACCCCTACCTTTCTGGCCAATGTATAACTTTTCCAACGCGGAAGACAATCATCATCCACAGTGCGCCTACGACAGGAGCTGGCGTTTTACGAATAACTGCATAATGCATAGCCAGCATGGCATCCATGACAATGACAGTCATCGGCTCAACAAGGCTGTGGCTCTGTGACACCCTGGCTCATTTTCATTTTATACACTTATGCGCATATATTTGCATGGTTCGTGAGCACCCAGGTGTGAAGCATTGCGACGCTAGTCTCCCCTCCGAGCTCGCTTACTCCGTCTCTGAGCTGACTCTCTCTCCTTTCGGGACTGGCTGCTGACCCTACCTCTGACCTCATCCTCTCCTCCCGCGGCTGACCGGTGATCCTTGTCTCCGAGCTGACCGGTAAGACCCTGTCTCTGAGCTGACCGGTAAGACCCTGTCTCTGAGCTGACTGCTGACCATGTTTCTGAGCTGACCGCTGAGACCCTGCCCCGGCTGACCGCTGACCCCTGTCCCGGCTGACTTCTGACCCTATCCCGGCTGACCGCTGAGACCCTACCCCGCCTGACCGGTGGTCCTGTCTCTGAGCTGACCGGTAAGACCCTGTCTCCGAGCTGACCCCTGTCTCGGCTGATCGCTGACCCTGTCTCCGAGCTGACCCTGTCTCTGAGCTGACGGCTCCGCCTGTCTCGGTTGCAGCCAGCAGGCCTGGGTGCGCTGGGAGGACCCGGTGATCTGCGAGATCTCGCCGCTGGTCTCGTACGCCGGCGAGGGTCTGGAGCCGCTGGTGGCCGGTCGCCGGTTCGTGCCACCGCTGCTGCTCAACGGGCCGGCCGGCGGACAGGGCGACCAGCCGCAGAGAACGGACACTAGCCGGCGGACAGGGAGACCAGCCCGCCGAGAACGGACACTAGCCGGCGAGAGAGCGGCCTCTGAGCCGGTAATAGCGGCCGCTGAGCCACTGAGCCGCCACTGAGCCACTGAGCCGGCCTCTGAGCCGCCATCCGCCGTCCGGCTCAGCGGGCCCTCACCGGGCAGTGTTCCGAGGTCGTCGGCGGCTTGAGTGCAGGTTTGACGTCACGTGGATGTGTGCTGTGTGACGTCCAGCGAAATCCAGCAGCATCAGAAGGCCGATAGTACAAACTGGTGGACGGCGAGGGCAGAACGATGGCATTACTAGCTGCCTACGGGGGACGTGATGGCTTCATTTTGATTGGATCATTTTGGTCAAAGTGTTTCTTGGAAAAGCACACCTGACTGCCCAGAAGCATGCGAATCGAACAAGAAACTAGCGAATCAGTTTGTGTGTTGATTGGATACACTGTAAGTTGGTATCTGATTGGCGGATTGGGTGTTTTCCACCCCGTGATTGGCCAGTTTTCCTCGGACCAGTGTGTGATTTTTCACCGGCAGTGCCATTAGTGTCCATCCGCGGCTTAGAGCTGTCCCCATCACCGACCACTGTGCGTGCACCGGCGCGGCATGCGCTCGCGTTTTGTCGAATTATTCGTTCCGTGCTGCGCTGTCGGGTGCAGTCCGCCATCATACATCAGCGTGCGCGCGGTGGATGTAGCCTGTAGACGACAGCACGTGCCAGTCTGAGTTTCTGCAGCTGTGCCTGTCCCTGCCGTTGTGAACTAACTGCCCCAAACTGCCCGGTGGCGGCTGGTGTCGCCCGTCCTGCCCGTCCGGAGCCCGCCAGTAGCACGGAACGCCCTCCTCTGTTGTTGTTGTTGTTGTTGTTCCCCCTGGGCCCTCCTTACGGAGGACCATAGCCGAGAGGCTCCCTATGACGAAGGTAGCCGGCCTCCAAGGCAGCCACCAGGTCGGCGTCCCGCAGCCGCGACGGGTCAACGTAAATGCTGCCAGTTAGCCGCAGGCGGGCGCCAGCGAGGGCCGGGCAGCGGAGCAAGACGTGCTCCGGCACGTCCGCCTCCTCCCGGCACACGGCGCAGAGCGCCGCGGGGCACCGCTTATCGGGGCACTGCAGGCATGCCACGGAGGGGTGGCGGCCGATCCGGTGCAGGTATTGGAGCGAGCGGCCCCAGTGGCCCGCCCTCAACTGGTGCACCGAGATGGCGGCCTCTCGGTCCTCTCCGGGGATGGGGAGCGGCAGGGTGCTCCCGAAGATAGTCTTAAAAAAGGAGTCGGGCCAGTTTTCGCGCCACTGACGTGTGGCCATCCGATGAACTGCCCGTGTCAGGGACCGAGCGTCCGAGGGCACGGCGCCCTGGGGCAGGGTGGCCGCTTGTTTGGCCAGGGCGTCAGCGCGCTCGTTCTCCGCCAGCCCGCAGTGAGCAGGGACCCACTGCAGGGTCACCTGCCGGCGCTCGGCAATGTCCAGCAGCGTCCTCCAGATCGCCGCGCCGATAGTGGTGGTCTGGGCGGCCGCTCCCGCGCTGAGGAGGCTCAGGGCGGCTCGTGAGTCAGAGCACGCCACCAGCGGGGCGGGGGACGGCTCATCCCGGACTCGCTCCAGCGCCGCCCTCAGGGCGAACAGCTCCGCGCGGGTGCTGGAGCAGAGGCCTCCCGCCGCCACCTCCACCTCGAGAGTCTCCCCCGACGCAGTGAAGATGACGGCGCCGCCTCCTCCTCGCCTGACCCCAGCGTCCGCAGAGCCGTCGGACCAAATCCACGTGGCCTGGGCTGGGAGCGCCGCCAGGTGCTGCCGCGCGGCCTCTCGTCGCGTCTCGTTGGAGGAGGCTCGACGGCCGCCGGGTCCCACGTCCAGATTGAAGGCGATCGGGCGGCAGGTTGTCCACGGGAGGAGGGGAACCTCGAGGCGCGGCTCCACCGTCACTCCCTCGGCGCCCGCCTCGATCAGCGCCGATCGCCCCAGTTGTCGCCAGCCAGTGGTAGACCGCAGTCGGGTGGGTGGGTCGGCCTCCGCGACGCGGCGAAGAGGGTCGTCCTCCGGCAGGGCGAGCGCTCGGCAGAGCGTTCGCGCGGCCAGCGTCTTCCTGGTGGACCATGCTGAAGGGATGCCTGCCTCGGCCAGCAGGGGATCCCTGGGGGTGGACCGTGGGCATCCGGTCACCACCCGGGCGGCCGCCAGCAGCTCGCGCTCCACCAGCTGGACGTGTGACGGGGACGCGGCCGGGAGCCAGGCACCCGCCGCGTATTCAAGGGCTCCCCGGACATACCCGTTCGCGACTGTCCTGAGCTGCGCCTCGCGGAGACCCCAGGTCCGGCCGGTCATCCTCCGCAGCTGTGCCGTCCGCGGCCGGACCTTCCGCCGCAGAGAGTCGCAGTGGTCTTTAAAGTGTAGAAGTCTATCGAAGGTCACCCCCAGAAGATGTAGGCTGGTGCCACCGGTGACCTGCGTGCCGTTCACCAGGAGTTGCACGCCACGCTCGTCCCTGCTCCGTTGAGTCAGCAGCAGCGCCTGGGTCTTCTGTCCGGCGATGGACATCTTCCAGTGCCTTGCCCATCGGGCCAGGGCGTCGGCCGACTTCTGGGCGCGAGCCACCGCGAGCTCTACGGTGGCTCCAGCGCTCAGTGTGGCCGTGTCGTCCGCATACATCAGGACGTCCGTGCGGTCCGAGGCGTTCCGCAGGGTCTCGATAAGGTCCGCCGCCCAGAGCGTGTAGATGGTCGGCGCCAGGACCGAGCCCTGCGGCAGGCCCGCGCGAAACACGCGCTCGCTGCTGTGCGCGCCGTTGACCTCTACGCGGGCCCGCCTGTCGCGAAGGAACCGGAATATCCAGGTCGCGAGACATCTGGGGAGGAGCTTGAGGAGCTTCAGGTGCAACATCCGGTGATCGATCGTGTCATAGGCACGGGAGAAGTCGAACGCCAGGAGGACAAAGCGGTCCGCCGTCACGCCATCCTCCGGGCCTCGTCTCGGCTTGGGGCGATTCCAGCCATCTTGAACGGTTTGGACCAAGCGGGCCAGACTGTCCTCCGCCGACCTCCCACGGCGGAACCCGACCTGTTCGGGGGGCACCAGTCGGTCTCGCTCGATGAGGTAGGTCGTCCGGGCCGCGATCATCCGCTCCGCTAGCTTGGCGATGTGACTCGTGAGCGCGATCGGGCGGTAGCTGCCCACTTGTTTGGGGTCTTTGCCGGCCTTCAAGATGGGGATGATGGTCGCCCGTCGCCATGAGGCGGGCGTCTCGAAGTTGGACCACGATCTGTTGATGAGTGCCAGAAGGGTCCGGTAGGCCGTCGGTCCGAGGTGCCGCAGGTGTTCGGTGCATACCTGGTCCGGTCCTGGCGCCTTCTTCGTCCCGAGGTGTCGGATTTGGTCGTGCATTTCCTGTTCGGTGAAGGGTTGACACTGGTCGGTACGCTGTCCCCTGCAGCAGCACGGGGCAGCCTTGAGGCCGCGGAGCTCCGTCTTGACGATCCGGTCGCGCTTGGGTTGGCGCACGTTTCTACTGACGTGGGCGTACGTGCGGACGAACGCCTCGGCCTTGGCCCGGTCCTCCGCGAGCAGTTGCCCGCAGTCCCCGTTGATGGCCCGGTCTGGGCAGACGTCCGGTGCAGCACCCTCCATCTTCCGCAGGATCTTGGTGACCTTCCCTATGGCTGCCGGCTTGTTCAGTTCTCCGGTCGCCAGTTCGCGGAAGCTCCTTTTCTGTGCTTCGGCCTCCATGGTCGCAACTGACTTCTTGGCTGTCTTCCATCTGGATCTCGCCTCCTCCGAGTCGTGCTCCTTGAGGGCGTCCCTCGCCTCCCGGCGCTCCGCCACCGCGGCCACGAGGTCCGGATCGAGCGCCCATGGCTTGGGGTCGGCGCGCGCACCCCGCGGGACGTGGGCGGTGCTGGCGGACAGGATCGCGGCCACCAGCCGCTCGCTGAGGCCCTCCACCGACATCGAGTCCGGGCGCAGGTCAGCGAGGGCCGCGTCACAGTCAGCCGCGAACCCAGTCCAGTCCGCCTTGTGAAAGGCCCATCGGCTCTTGCGGATCCTCTTCGGTCGCGCGCCGCCGATCGAGGTGTGGATCAGCTGAGGGAGGTGGTCGCTCCCCAGGTCCTCACCGACCGTCCACGTGCAGCGGCCCGCCATGTCACGGTGGCACATCGCGACGTCCGGGGCGGTCTGTCGAGTGCGGTTCCCGTAGCCGACACAGGTGGCCGCGCCGGAGTTGAGAGTCACCCAGTGATGGAGCTCAAGCCAGTCGTTCACCCGGGTCCCCACCGCGTCCGGTTCGGAACAATTAACATCCCAGACGGGGTGGTGGCCGTTGATGTCTCCGACGGCTATGACGTTGGGTAGCGATGGGAACATGTCCAGAGAGAAGTGGTCTTCCCGCTCGTCCTCAGCTGACAGTCGGGACGGGGGGCGGTACAGGTTGTATATGTCGAGTGATGATGACTCTCTTGAGGGCTGGCCTCGCATTTGGTGCGGGATGATCTTGATGGCGCACCACGCCCTCCTCTCGCCAGTGACGGCGATACGCCCTGCGACCGCCCGTCGCCGGGCGCCAACTGGTCCCTACGGTGACGTCACAAAAGCTGCCATATCGTACGCGAGTGGACCAGACTGTGTCTACGCCGCTTAGCTTTGTGATATGTTCGTCTCTGAATGCTATGATCAATTCTAACCTGCGGATGATGATTTTCAAAACGGCTTAGTGTATGTGAATGTTTAATGCAGATTTGCATGCAAAATGATGCTTTGTGTGCATATTGTGTAGCTCACGATCGGATTGGAAAACGGCCTTGTTTCGTTGTGCGGCATTTGTGTTTTTGTGTTTGAGTCGTTCGTGGGGATTTAGTCGTCATGTGTCAGAGCTTGCGATATGAATGTGTCTATCAGTGGACTGGAGAGTGAAAAATATCGAGTTACCTGCGAACGGGCATTAACTTCCCAACATTTTCATTCATTTCCTAGGAACTGGATTTTCTTTCTAGATTATGCCTCAACATTTGGCAGTTGTTGCCAAATGCACCATTGAGTGATGTTGTAAAGGTACTTACAATAGGAATTTAAGGTACTGGATATGAACACTGAGTGTTGTTAGCATTTTTCTCGTCTCGGTCCTTCGCGCATGAACGACGTTTAGCAGGCATTCTCAATTAAAATCTGTATCCCTTATTATTATCCTTAATCGCAACAAAGTGTTGGTGCTGGGACATGATGTTGGGTATTCTGTCAACGAAGACAATTTTCAAGTAAAACCTTTCCAAGCTAGTCAAAATTTGGCTTGACCGGCACAGCAGCCGCATCTTTTTAAAATAACACCGTACACATGCAAGACTGCTTATGATTGGTACACTGCCGCTCGTGTGCAAAGGCCGATCTGTTTTTCCCGACTTGCAAGTCGGGCCTGTGCATATATGCACAGGTGCTGCTTGATAGTGTTTTTAAGGTGAACTTTTCATGCACACAGCTGCTAATGCCGGGCTAGATGTGTTGTGCAAATCGTCTTGTAATGTGCGCTGTAACCATCCACATTGGTGTGTAAAAGTACAGAACCATTCTGGGGAACCGGCTGATTAAGTACCATAATTTCCAAACAGCTAACTGCAGTGTGCCATGTTTGTTCGTGTCCGTTTCGTATGTAGGATAATCTGAGTCTGACACTTCCTCGTTCTCGATGATGGCATTATGGTGCGTAGCATTGCACATTATATGTGCTTAATAAATCCTTCCTACTGCCTTCGCCTGAGTACATCGAGACATTGTATGCGTTTTTCATAATTATTGGTGACTGTTTTGTTACTAGCTAAGTCTTGCCTCTGCTTATATTTACAGTTGTTTTGCACACCTACCGGATGTGGTCATGTTAGTTGCAGCGTTGATTTGATTCAAGAATCCCCTGATAATCTGTGTTCGGCTCGAACTACATGACAATACACTCGGTCCATCACATCCAGCAGCGTGCTTTAGGTGCCGGGAGTGTTGATGGTCACACTTGGAGCGGAAAAGTCGCGTAGGAAAGCTGAAGGTCGATTCGCGTGTTCTACCTTTGAACGATTGCGAATGGGCAATAAAATTGCGGCTTTTATCGAGGTGAGGTTTGGTTGCATGACCTCATAACACCACATATCTGGACCGTGCGCGCTCTATCGTTAGTCGTGACCTCTCGTCCGCCCGTTCCCGTGTCGCCGTGAGCGGCCCAAATCAGGAGCGGCGGGCCGTCCGTCGGCGCCGGCGCTCTCGTCACGCTGGCCCCGTCATCGATCGCGACGGGCGCCGACGGCTGGCCGCCGTCACCGACGCGCCACAGGCTCCGGGGCTGCCGCGGTGTGCCAGCAGCGCGCGGGCGACGGCGGCGAGACGCTCGGGGCGGCGGTGAGACGTGACGGTCGGGCGTTGCTGGAGTGACGTGACGTTCAGGTGTCTAGGTGACGTTGTGACGTGACGTTCACAATCGTCGAGGTGACGTTCGGGCCCGACGCGACGTTCGGTGGCCAGTGAGGCAGTGGGGAGACAAAAGCGGAGAGTGGAGGACGGTCTGCCGCGTTCAGCCGCCGCTCGGGCACGGCGGTGTGAGGCCCCGCCGGTGAGTGCAGCGACTGGTGCAGCGGCACGTTACACCGGCGACATAGAGGCCAGTGGTGAAACGATTGATACGTGATCGACAGATACACACGCCCAGCCACGACGTCCCCGGTTCGCACGCCGTCCACGCTGCCCGTGAGTTAGATATGTGTCGCCCGGGTCGCACCTCTGGTATGTCTGCTCTGTTGTAAGATGTAGGGAAGTTGTGACCTCGTCACTTTGTGTGTTTATCTCCTCACACTTTTTATCTTTGCTAGTGAAATTTAGGACACGCGTCTCGCGTGTAGTCCGGTAGTTGTTAGTCCCACTGCAATACATTTGATAGTTATTGGTTTTTCTACTATATATTAAAATGAAAGATTGACCACCAACACTGCCAGCAATGAGCCATCGGACTGACCTCACGACTGACCCTTTTCCATTTCAGGGACCTGCTGAAACGGCAGCCATGGATCTGGACAGGAACGCCGTGCTCGAGATGTACGTCCAGTACTTACCAGGTAAGTGTCGACCAGCCGTGTCGCAGCGAGAGACACGTATACAGAACTGTGACGTCAATAACCACCGCTGAAGCGGCTATCGATGTGCCAATAGTAAACGCCGTGCGTCAATTGTTCGGCTCAGCGCATAGATGGAGCGGTGCTTGTTCTCGCCTCACATGACGTAAAAGGGCGAGATTCAGTTATTGACCTGAGGAATTTACAGTGGGGGCGTCGAACGAATCGAGCACAATAATAGGCTCATGGTCCCTGGGGCAGAAAAGGGTAGAGCAGAAAGTACCGGTACATGGCAGAGCGAGTGAGTACCGGTACAGGGCAGAGCGGGAGAGTACCGTGACTTGGTAGAATGAGAGTACTTGCCTACCGAGACAAGATAAGGTATGTGTATCTGTGTGGCTGTATGCGGGTTTAGAGGGGGGGGGGGGAGCTTGCATCCTTGAGGCTCCTGCTGTCGTAGTTGATGTATAATGCGCTATTTTTTACCAGAAATTCATTGGAGAAGTGTGTCGCCCGACCTACAGATAGTATCGTTGTATCCCAACTGTGGTGGTCAGGTCCGATACCTAATTAGGCCCTGGTGTTGTACCCCCCCCCCCCCCCCCCGACCGTCAGAAGGTATGTTAGGCAGTTCCGTGCGGATTTGGCGGTGCACTGACCAGGTCCGGTCACTGGTTCACAGAGAGCAGCGAAATCAACTACTGGATGTTCGCCATGATTGCACTGGGGATGGCCTTCATCGCCTTCGTCGTCGCCTCCATCTACCTCATTTGGTGGGTCACAAGCACTATCGCAACAAGGGCGTTGCGAATAATTCACTGAATATATTCAGTGAATTATTCGTAACATGATTGGCCATGAATGAGCATTGAGCAAGCTGCAAGTATAACCAATTCATATTTTACTCACTGATGACATGACATTGTTCATTATCTTGCTGGTGTTTGCTGCTACTGTAATGTGGCTGTGTCCCGTCATACACTTTTGTGTATAATGCGAAAGAACTTTTCTCTGAAGTAGATCGTCTCCTCCATTGCCGTTGTCGCGTATCCGTCTCCGCACGCAGTCGACGGCTGGACGTAACAGTCTGGGTATTTCTGTCACGTCGAGGCCGGGAGAGGGGGAGGGGATGTTGTCTACCTGTCCACGCGCCAGCGTCTCAATCGACAGCCAGCCGTTTATATTTACAGCTAGGGGCGCCGTACCGTCTCAATCGACAACCAGGGGCGCCGTAGGGCGCCGTGCATATCGACGCTCGACAGTCCAAGGGCTGAACAAAAATCGTATCAATAGAAAATACAGCCTGGTGCAGGGTGCTGTAGTCGTTGTCTCGTTTAAAACAGTCCGGTGCCGTATAGACTATCTGTAAGAATCTTGGTATAGACACTACTGTCTCAACTGACAGTGTTCCGGCCATATAGTCGCCTTCTGGCTGGACAGTATTCGGGACGTAAAGTCACTGTCTCAATCACCATTCACCAGTATTAGGGCTACATATTCACCACCTGATTCGACAGGTGGAAGGCGAGTTCAATGGGATGATATGAGACATTCGGACGGTGGAGGTTACGAGCTGGAAAATCGTGTGCTATCACAGTGGCACGGCACAGTTGCCACGTGCTGCATAAATGCCGTAGTACATATGTTATTAATTCGGGTAACGATCTTTCTTTGCATGTTATGTAATATCACCAAGTGGTTTAAGGTCACTTTAGACTGGCTTCCTCCACCAGTCGGTCCTTTTTCGCGGACGTGAAAATTTTAGCCCGAAGTCAGCTACGGTAATTATGCCAAGTGACCTGATGACCTGGAGAGGTTGACGGTTGACCTCTCGCAAACAGTGATCCCCTGCATTCGCGACGTCAAAGCTCAGTATTTCATCAATAAGACGTCGGTTCGCAACTCACCAAAGGTCACCACCTGCTGAAATGGCTTTCCGAAGTGTGCATGTAGTGTGATAAACAATTCAGTAGATCCATGGCCCGTGACCTTAAGTCGCTAAGAAGTTAAGAAGTTGCATAATATTAGACTCCATCTCCTGTATGCCGTATGTCTGTATGCCGCTGACCGTGCCCCCCCCCCCCCCCCCATGTCCGCCTCTGACCGTGCCCCCGTCTGCCCGCCAGCTCGGACGAAAAGTCGCGCACGCTGCGCCAGGTGGCGCGCACGGCTACCGTCACATCTCGCGTAAACGTGCCGCTGGAGAACGGCGCACGCTGGCCGGCCAGTCGGTCACCAAACGACGACAGTGCTGAGGAGACTCAGCTGAGCGGCAGCGCCGGGCCGCCGCTCACCTGAGCAGCCGAACTGAGCGGGACGGAACTGAGCGGCAGCGGAACTGAGCAGCGGAACTGAGAGCCGAGTCACAGCGCCAGCGCCGGGTCGCTGACCTGAGCATGAGGCCGAACCTGCTGCTGACTTCAACATGAGACTGCTACTGACCTGCACGCCGGGCCAGACCTGAGAACTGCGCCTGGCCGGGACTGGACTGAGCATGGGACCGCTGCTGGCCTGAGCACCGCGCTGCAGCAGGCCGAGTGTCGTACCGGGCCGGCGCAGACAGTGTGCGCTTCTGATCACTGTAACTGGAGGGCGATCGTGCGGTACGCGGTGGTAATGCACCTGTGACTCTCGTGGAAGCACGAGGATGGGCCAAGGCGCGGACAATGGCTAGCCACCTGGGGATTGGTGGGGGCAGATTGGAGGACTCCTATCTTCATTAGCAGCGACACAATGATTGTTACTTCTGAAGTAGTAGGAAAGCGGAAGACGAACTCCTTTCACCTTCTTGGTTTGCTGCTGTCGAGTAGCGCCTCTTTCCTCAAGACTTGTTTCTTGACTCGCCGTATTTACATAAGTCGATGATTGGGTAGGGGATTTAGTTACATTGCATTTTTAGGGACGATATTGCCGATGTATTTTGTCTACGTTTGTGGTAGATATGACCGTTACATTTTCCTCTAGTTCCTGTGACGGGGACCCCAACTGAACCGCTCTGGATTTGCCGCTGCAGTATGCGTAGCTCTCAACATAGGTATATGTCGCGCGCATCCATCCAACCATAGCCGGACAGTGTCTGTTGGCGATCCATACCCACAGCACAGGGTCTCTGGGCGGTCTCGGTAGGTAAATATGTTCCGTACGCCGGTCGGCGGAGGGCGACGGGTACATTGTGAAATGACGTCACAGTACGTGACGTGGACAGCGTTAAGTGACGTCACAGTAAGTGACGTGGCCGTGGTGTGATCGACTCCTGAATATCGATGACATTGCTGTTGATTGCCTGGGCCCTCGTTCACGGCAGCACGCTGCCAACACATTTCGCGAGCTGACGTAACAAATTGTGGTAATGTTGGAGATACGAGTTTGTTGATGCCTCCATGGAAACCAAATTTGACACGTGTGCTGGCAGCGCGCTTGCAGCGGCCGTGAAACAGGTCCCAGACATCAGTGGAGTGACGTGTACAACTGGTGACATCAGATGACGCATGGTGAGTCGTCAGGGCTATGACATGCATTCATGCCGCTTGGACAAACTGCTATGATGCCATTAACGTTCAAAATGAGCTGCTACGGTTTTCGGACGCCTTGTTCAGTGTCAGACTTAGCCGTGACAATTCGCTGAGCGTGTGCTTACGTGCGAATGTTAAAATGCGTGTGAAATTTAAATAAAATGGAAGTAAGGATTTCACTGGAATACAAGAAAAATAGCAGTTCGGTTAGATAGACAATCCTGTGATTGGAGTTTTGTACAGATGGAACCAGAGTCGCACCACACACATGTCTACGTCCTACCGGTGGCGTAGCGAAGGGGGTACCTATGGTCCCTAGGGACCCCTCTTGGGCCTTCAATGGGCCCGCCCCCAAAGCTGATGGCAGGGCCCTTTGAAGATTCAAAAATTCCGGGTGGGCCGTTTCAAATCGGGGAACCCACCCCACATGTATGGGGACTTTACCTACGTGCCCATTTCTTATCCAATTTTTAGGGCGGACTTCACCCACTTTATTTTTGGTGGGCCTCTTTTTGTTTTTATTAAATATTTATTTCTTATAGTTCGGTTAAGGTCCAAGCTAGTGAAGGACCCCTGCTAGCTTGACGGGGGCCCTCTAAACTAAAGAAAGACCCTCTGGGTACACGAGAGGGCCCTCTGAAAGTGTGAAAGGGCCCCCTGATCACTTGAGGGGGCCCCTCTTACCTACCGAGGGGCCCTCTGAACGAGTGGAGTTGCCATCTGAAGCGAGCTCATGATGGGGCTCCCTGACTAACATCCGAAGGGTCCTCTGTTAGTGTAAAGGAACCGCTATTTGTGTGAGAGGCCCTTTTTGGACCGAGAGGGCCTTCTGTCGGTCTGAGGGCCCTCGATTGGCCTGAGGGACCCTTTGTTCGTCCGAGGGGCCTATATCAACTGGAGGGGCCTTTTCCCCACCTGAGAAGGTCCTCCGTCAACATGAGGGGCCCCTGCCAGTCTCAGAGTCCCTCTCCCGACCTGGGAGAGGCCCTCCGCTGTTCTGAGGGGCCCGTGCCGGTCTGTGGGTCCTTCGATCGACCTGAGAGAGCCCTCTGTTCACCTGAGGAGCCCTCTGTTGATCTGTTGGTTTCCGACTGTTGGTCTGATCCTATGTCGGTTCGAGGGATCTCTGTCGGGCTGAGGGGCCCCTATCAGTTTGAGGAGGCCCTCAAATAACCTGAACGGGCCCTTTGTCTGCGAGGGCCCTCCGTCGGTCCGACAGGGCCCTCTGAAAGTGCCAGGGGCCCTTTTGTCGGTCTGAGTGGCCCTTATACCTATAGACGGCTTACATGACCCTCAGACGGCTTACGAGGCTCTCGTGTGGGCTGTAGGGTCCTTTGACGGTCTGAAGGACCCTCATCCGACCTACGGCTACGGGGCCCTCAGTCCGCCTTCGGAACCGGCTGAGCGACTCTATGAAGCAGCTATTCGTGGGCCTATCTAGCAGGGGCCCATGGACTGCTTGTCCTCTCAGTTCTAACTTTTTATTTTTAATAATTATTTGTATTTATTTGGGCCCCCTGCGAAAAATAGTGGATGAAATCCGATGACTTTTTGTATTTTGAGGGGGGTTACCTTGGGCCTCTTGGTTCGAGGAAATCCTGGCTACGCCCCTGCGTCCTACAGACATGCCTAGGACAGGCGAGTGCTACACTTGCCTGTCTACAGCTTATCTGTAGATGGCGAGTGCTTGCACATCGGTGTCCCAATCACGGGTCCGCGAGCCCCGCCCCGATCTCGGAGATCGATGCGGCCCGCCCGTCACCCAGTCACCCGGAACAGGCAATACGGGATCAATCTCAGTGCTCGATATTGCGGACGGCACCAGAGCGATCATAATTACCTACGCTCTCGGTCCGCAGCACCAGAGGTGATCGGAGGCAAAGCCAGCGATCTGTGTGATCAGCTGGAAACTCACGACAAATCGCTGGGGCCGGACGTGGTAGACTGTGTGTGTCGTCAGCTTTGTTTAGATTCCAGTCCAGTTTGGCAGGGTGGTGACACGTAGCGACGGAATGGTCCGCTGAGTCAGACCTCCTAACGACCGCCACGCCGCCGTCCCACTGCGTCAACCCATCCCTACGCGACCCAGTGTGTCAGCTCACCACTGCACCAGTGGGTGGAATGGTGGGAAAACAGAGCGCCTGGGGCGATTTGGTCAAGGATCTTGAAATTCGCTTGACCTAACGTGACAGTCTACCTGTAAAACGCACCAAGAGGTGGAGAATGTATAAATAATCATGTGACCAGAAATGCCCTCCGACGCCCTGTTTTCAGATTCCACCCACCAGTGAACACACCCCGACCACAGTCAGCCAACTCGGCACCAGCGATCTCATCCCGGAACTAACTACTTCCGGCTGAGGGCAGGCTAACTTCTCGACCCCTGGGCCGCGAGGCAGAGTGGGATTAGTTGATAAAACAGCAGTTTGGCCGCGACGTGTGAGGGAGGGGGGGGGGGGTTAGTTGCTAACACAGCAGCTGGACATTGGCAGCGGTGCGGTGCAGACTTTGGTCTCTGATTCAGCACGGAGCGTCCATCTATAGATAACCGGCGGAGCAGTGCCGGGAGAGGAGCTTTGCAGCCGGTCGCCCGGCCCTGAATGTTGGGAGGCCCGACCACAACGCTGTCCCACTGGCGTCGTGTTGTCAGTGATTTACTTCACGTTTCTGAGAAAAGGCAAACTGGCATTATGACGTTATATTTATTTCCTTCCCACTCGCAGCCGGTTAGTTAAATGCCCGCTGATTCAATAACACCCCACCCATTGCGGCAGCACACACCAGCTTATTCACAGCACACGGCCAGGCCTGGCGCAGCGCTATCAGAGCGAGGAAGCCGGCTATCTGTGGTATGTCGACCGACTCATCAATGCGCTTAGAGGGCCAGTCAGTAGCCCAGGGTCGGAAATTAAGTCGGCCAGAACGACCAGAGGATCGTAAACGAACACAAGCTAGTGGATATAGGTAACTGTGCTGTCCATGAAAAGGACGAGACAATCTTGGTCTTGCTGTGGCACACTGGCATAGGCTTGACTAATCATAACAGGTTGATAAGGGGAATCTGTCTGGACATCACGATCCATAAGTCGCGACTAGCTGCCTACGGGGGATCAAATCTGCAGATGGGGAAATAGCGATATACTCTATTATGTTTAACAACCAACAAACCGAAGGCACGGACTGCTATAACTGTATCCCGACGATTTCGATGACGCGGTAGGTCAAACTCCTGCAATTATGGCTATTTCTGAAACGGAAACATTTGAATCACACCTACTTTTTGGGTTGCTCGCTAAATGCCCCAGCACGCGCGGTACATCGGACCAGTTAGCACATCGAACCAGGGGCGCCTTACTGCGGTCTGATGCTGCAGCAGACTCGCCGGTTCCAGCTTATCAGCACGTATATGACGTAACTAGTCACCGCGCCGCTGGAAGGACCGGCCCGCGTCCACCGCTCTCCGTCACGTCTGCCCACCACCCGGTGAGCTGGCGGCCCCTCCACCACCGGCACAGTCCCGTCCGGCCCACCTCGTCTGCTCCTCGTCCCGTCTAGTCGTCCTTTTTGGTGGCGCCGCCCGCCTCGCCGGCGCGCTTCTGCAGCTTCTCGTGCTCGGCCATCAGCCGGTCGTACTCGCGGCTGGTGCTCTCGGACTGGCTCTGCAGGGCCTCCGCCTTCTTCAGCGCCGAGTCGCGCTCCTTCTCGGCCGCCGACAGCAGCTTCTTCAGCTCGGTCACGGCCTTGTCGCCGTCTGCCGAGGACAGGTTCTTGCCCTCCATCAGCTGCAGAACAGACAGCGGGAGACGCGTGTCAGCGGTGAACCTACAGCCGTTCCAAAACTCACTACCTAACCATCAGTCATCAAACCTGTCAGTGTTGAGACTTAGCCGGCACATCAGACTGTCAACTTCAGGCGTGTCTCACATTGCCACCATTATACGACAGTGAAATACAGAACACAGTTTGGCTAAATTCATTTTACGTTAGGGGGAGGATGTAGAAAAAAGGCCGGAAAGGATGCCGTTATTTTCATAAAACTTGACTTCGACCCCTTTTTATATATGCCACTTTTTATATATGTCACGAGAAAATAAAGCAGAAATATTAAATACTGATAAAACTTTGAAGGCATTCTGATACTCGGGATGTTACATGAGGTTTTTAAGTCGGGTCATATATTTGAACATTTTGGTTATTTGAATGGTTGTCTTGGCGTATTGTGAGAGTTTGTGAGGTTTGTGTTTCTCTTGCTCCTAGACGTTTGGGTTCGATGTTGTTATTATAAGTCGTGACTGCCGTGAGGATGTTTTTATTTATATTTTTAAGATGTCATTATACTTTTCATTATGGTAGGATTTCCCCGCAACATTACAATTTTGGACACATTGACAGAACACCACCACACCACCTACGATCCCCAACAGAGGCAAGCGCATGGACCGCAGGTGGGCCGCCTTGACCTCTGCACCGGCTCAGTCTATGGGTACCTGTCATACGCCGTTTAGCGGCCGCCTACCTTCTGGGCGGCGTTGGACGCGCTGACGGCCTGCCTCATGGCCGCCTCGTTGCTCGCCTCCAGTGACGCCTGTTTGGAGATGAGCGTGACCAGCCGACGCAGCACCCTGGAAACGCCGGCGGCGAGTGGGTGAGCGGAGCACCGCCGAGCGCACATAGCACGGCCCCCCGAGACCGGCACACGACACAGTCAAGGGTCAGCTAAACGTCATGACACACCGAACGCACTTTTGTGAAATCATTCAACCAATAGCTTGCCTTCCATGGCAATCATCCCAATCGCAGATATACAAATTACACAGGAGTGACATCAGTAGGTTGAATGGTGCGCTGGTACTCGCTGCACTTACAGGAACAGGAAGAGGGCGAATCCCGAGATGAAGAAGTTGCGCTGTGCGCGGAAGAGTTTCATGTGTTTCTGCAGCTCGGCGTCCAGGTGGTCACGGGACACGTGTCCCTCGGCGTCCTCCGTGTAGCCGTACTTGGCCATCTCACGAATGGCGTCTGTCGGAGGCATAATCGGCGTCACGAGATCACCGGAAAACGACTCCCGATTCCCGAAGCCATGAGGGACAAGACTCAAATGGCAGACAACAATGTTTATGATATAGTTAATGATTATACGTTATATATGATCAATGTTAATAATTATAGTATACTGCATTGCTAGTCAAACATTTGAACTGCTGTCAAAACATTGGAGATAAGATCAAAGCTTTGGAAATAGTTCTTGCCTAGTCGCCCCACTAACTTTGTTGCTATTTTTCATAAAGCAATTACATTTTCTTCACCAGACAATTACCTAACATGAAACGTTCTTCCTCTGCAATTTCATTATCTGAAGAATCAAATAATACTACCCCTTAGGCCCTTACAGACGAAAATGAACCCAAGAATCCAAACTGGCCTCTTCCACACACTGAGCTTACCTAGAAAGCAGAGCCCTAAAATCACCATGAACACACAGAAGTAGAAGAAGGACTGTCCTTCAATGGCCTGGAGAAAGCGAGACTTGATGATTGAATTCCATCTGAAAAAAGATAATATCTTTAAAACAAAGAACATTTGAAAAATTGATTTGCATAAGAGAGAAGCAGGCATTTAGTAAATAATGTATAAGCCTTACTTGAGTTGGATACCAACACAATAAACCAAAATTTCAATGCATCTGAACACCTTTATCTTTACAAATGTTAAGCTGAAGAAGTAAAAAAAAAAAAATAGTATGGCTACTCCCTTTTGTGTGAGCCTCAGATCATCACATGCCGAACACGCTACCTACCTCTTTGCAGAAATGAAGGGAAGAAGCAGCAAAAGTACCACAACTATTTCTGTGTACAAAAACCCAGCAATCAGCGTCCACTGAATACTCATGTTGATGTTGATGTTCTTTCACGTATGTGATGAATGTTTCCTGTGAAAAAGATCAGTGGAATAGTTAGGTGAAAATCTGGAATCAGAGATCATGGTCCTGGGCCAGTTTGTTTGACATGCCATACCTTAGGAAATAGTTCACTTTTACCATGGGGTTTTGAGCTGGAATAGCACTTTTGTAGCTTGAGCTGAGACTAGCACAAATCATAAGCTTTTACAGACCGAAGATCACCCTAGATGAATATATTCCATTTCTTGTTCTGAAAAGAGTGTCTTGCAGAGCAATGTGGGCCCTTAAAGGAACGCAGCCACAGCATCATCAGCCAATCAGCATGCTGCTTACAGCCAATGGGTTTGTTCTATACACAATATGAGTGGTCAACGCATACTAAGCTTCTGCATCAAACAATGTTTTATATAGAATATTGTTCTTCTTATATCAAAATATAGAAAATAATCTTTTTAACAGCATACACGACTGATGTGATGAGTCATGAGTGATGGCTTTGCTTTATTTTAGAATACTTTTGTGGAACAATCTGTGAGTGTGAATACCTAACTGAATGAAATGAAGTTATGATTAGGGCCTAATGATAGGAAGCATTATGGGTATTTGTCAAGATAAGGTCCAATCTATAATTGTGGTGATACTCAATACTCAAAAGGTATTCAATATATATTTCGGGAGAGAAGGCTTAGTTGTCGTGATGGTGATTGTGATACAAATATGAAACAGTGGAAATTTTAGGCTGTAGGTTTGTAGGTTTTAGGTTGTTAGGTTTGTAGGTTGTAGGTTTGTAGGTTGTAGGTAAGTCAGTCGGGGAAACTATGGCAAAATCTGCTATTTTTAGCAGTCTGCTATTTTTGACAGAAATCTGCCAAAAATGGGTACGCATGTGACGTCATCGTACCCAAATATAGGTAGCAGATTTGGGTACGGCCCCATACAAAAGCAGATCTACACCCTAATTGAAGCAAATGCGCATCAAATGCCTGGCAGATTCATGATGAGAATAGTGCTGAGAGTGATCTCTGCTATTTTTGTTCAGATCCGACTATTTTCAAATTCATTATTTGAAAACAGTCGGATCTGAACAAAAATATCAGAGGACATTCTCAGCACTATTCTAATCATGAATCTGCCAGGCATTTGATGCGCATTTGCCTCAATTAGGGTGCAGATCTGCTTTTGTATGGGGCCGTACCCAAATATAGCAGATTTGGGTATGGTACGATGATGTCACATGCGTACCCATTTTTAGCAGATTTCTGTTAAAAATAGCAGACTGCTAAAATAGCAGATTTTACCATAGTTTCCTGGACTGAAGTAGGTTGAGGTAAGGTTAGGTCAGGTTTGATTATGCCATTTCCTTTGATTTGCGAGACATTTAAGCATCATTTTTGGATTCAGGATGTCAAATGTGTTAAATAATGTAGCATTGTGAAAAATTATCCTTGAAATCTTTTTAGGACTTTATCTTGACATTTACCGCATTTTGCAACAAACTAAAATCCCCCTAACAATATATTAATATAAAACAAATAAGCAATGAACCCAAAACAGTGAAAAAGAGCAGACTCCTCTTTCACACACTCTCACTTTCCCTCTCACACCCTCTTATACGGCCTTGCTCACACCCGGCTCACACCTCCACGGACGTATAGCAACGCAACCACCTCCATTCAGGTGAAGCCGACAAGGCGCCATCTTACGTTGCCAAAAACCGTGCTCTGGAAGGTCATCGAGCCAATACAATTAGATTTGCGTCTAAACGGATGATCGAATCGAGATGCTGGTGGTACTGTTCGACGGGTAATGCCTTGAGGCAGGTGATGGTGCATGTCACAGGTCATCCGGTGTCACATGGCGCGTGCCACGTGCCGGCAAACTTACAGAGAGCAATAACTTTTAAAGGGACCCTCCTACCTTCAAAAAAGTTAATGAATTGGCATGAAAGTGATGTCGCTCGGTTTCAGAAAGAGCGATAACGAATATATACTAAATTTCATCGAAAAATATTCATCGGTTTTCAAGATATTAGACTTTTACTTTTGTTTACTTTTTGGGATCTCTACTGTTCCTAGCGACTTTATTTGAAAGTACGGCATTTGTTGTGCGCAAAGCAGCATATACCACCGCGTGCTACAAAACGTTTTAGTAAAAGATTTAAAAATCGTTAGATCTCCGGCTCCGCTGATGTCACAAATTCTAAGGGGGCATTCCAATGCATTAGCCCCTTGGAATCCGAAAACTGCAAGTTTGAAATTCCATATCTCCGAATTAAAGGGACCCTCCCACCTTAACATTAGTTTTGAGTTGAGATAGCCAAGTTTGCGGCCAGGCTCAGAAACCACCATTTATCCTGGTCGCAACCCCCGCAGCTTTATGGTGTTCAAGAAATTTCTTCCCTTTACTTGCAGGGTGGGACCAGCGTGGTCCCTATCTCTTAACCATTACGGGAATCTGATGACGTCATCAGGCTTTCGAACGTCCGTTAAATGTTTGACTAAAACGTTTTGTAGCACGCGGTGGTATATGCTGCTTTGCGCGCAACAAATGCCGCACTTTCAAATAAAGTCGCTAGGAACAGCGGAGATCCCAAAAAGTAAACAAAAGTAAAAGTCTAATATCTTTAAAACCGGTGAATATTTTTCGATGAAATTTGGTAGTTATTCGTTTTTGCTCTTTCTGAACCGAGCGACATCACTTTCATGCCAATTCATTAACTTTTTTGAAGGTGGGAGGGTCCCTTTAACCCTCGCCGGACCTATTGGTTTTCTACATACGCGCCGGCCGAGGGGGGGGGGGGCGGGTACGACCCCCCCTCGCCGTTTCGCCCCTGGTGGATCTAGCGCGTCGCGGAAAAAACGAGCGTGTGCGCCGTTACGAGACGCAGAGATTGGTACCCGATTTTAAGGTCCTAGGTCAACCGGTGACCTCTGAGATCAGGTCAAGTGCCCCAAGGTACGGTTCAGTTTTTGGTGAATAACTTCGCAAAAAACGGCCGCAGAGCGCCGATTTTGGCAGCATCGTGTTTGCCTCGCTCAGGCGCGTCGAGTGATATAGGGTAAGGTGCCTAATTAGCGACCCTTTCCGATTTGCGACCTACCTCCCTACAGAAAAACTGGCAGGAGAAAACGGGGTAAAACCATCGCCAAAGGTCAGCCATACTTTGGTTATCAAATTAAATTATTTTCCGCTCGTCGATGTTTCTGCTGGGACGTTTCAGATAAGTTTAAATAAAAATGACGAGTTTCTTATCCAAAACGTGTGTGTTTAGGCCCTCTCTAATGAAAAGCGATGCACATTAGGATGATGCACCTTTTTTATTCTGAATCGACATTCCTTTTTTAATTGATTGCCGTTTTCCCATAGTGAATCGCTCAACGGTGCACACTGCACAGCATGGCGGTTAAAAATGTGTCGCAACTCATATTTCCTATTTGCGCCTGACATGGTCGCAAATAGCTCAAGAAGGGAAAGAAAGGGGAAAAGAGGGAAATGAAAATGAGGTGTTGCTGATGCTTGCAATGTGTGGCAGGGGATGCCAAATATCGTCACCGACTGCAGGGGTGCCGAATTCAGCGCGGACCTCGAATATCAAACAAGATAGCCCGCAAAATTTGGGTTTCCGCCTTCTTTTCGCCTTTGGTGCATCACGTGATCAGTTTTTACTTACGTAAATGTGTTCGATAAACGTTCCTGTTCGAGTAATTGAGTGCTTTGCGTATAGGTTACCTTTTTGAGATCATATTTCATCTTTTCAGGCGTCGCATTTTTTGCCATTTTTAATATGGGGAAACCCATAGACTTATTAGCGACCCTCCCCGGTCGCTAATCGGGAAGAGTTCCCTATTAGCGTTTTTTGCAATGGTTTGCCAAAATGCTCACTACAAATAAGTTAGTGAATATTGGGGCAGAAAATGACTACCTATATTTTAATAGAAAAATGAACGATCTCTCCGAAAATCAAGCCAGTAACACAGTGGCACCCACAGAGCGTGAGCAATGACGGTTCAAATTAAGGGGGTCGCTAATTAGGCACCTTACCCTACTTTTTGCCCGGGTCAGGTCAACTTGGGGTGTTGACCTCAGGTCAAGGTCAGGTCAGCACCCCCAGGTCACGAAGCTGGTCGAAAGAGGTCATGTTGCATATCATTCGATTCGGCAGGCCTTCCTGAGTCCATTGGTGGCTTTACCGACTCGCTAGCTCAATTTGATCAAGAGTTATTGACGAAAAACTAATATGATCTTGATGACGTCATAAATGACGTCACGCAAGGTCAACATTGCAAAAGTGACGCATCTAACCTTACAAAGAGTGCATCAAATCACGATTCTGTGTGCTTGAGATAGTTGGAGATCGTTCCCGGCGCCAGAATAGCAGTTTTCATTTTTCCCCATTGACTTATAATGGTGAGGTCACGAAAATGACCTGACCTCATATGACCTTTAGGAAAAATCCGAGATATACAAGTTGTGGGACTCATAATGGATACTAGAACCTGCAAGTTTCATTTCCCTGTGACATCTCCTCTGGCAGTGAGGGCGTTGCGAAGTTGCGACATCTGAAGACCGTGCAGAAGTTCACTTATGACGTAATAGGTCAGTGACCTGACCTGACCCAAAAATGCGGTTGGTGTCAAAAGATCCGGCTTGGATCAAAGGTCAGGTATGCCAAGTTTCAGCTCTTTATCGCCAGCGTGTTCGGAGCTATCGCGAAAAAAATCCTATGGTGGGGCCGCACCCGCCCCCCCCCGCATTTTTCGATGTGGAGAGTGCCCAAACCGGTCTTTCCAGGCTATGGACACCAATTTGGCTATCTCAATTCAAAACTAATGTTAAGGTGGGATGGTCACTTTAGCTCTACTGGGTGGGCCACAATCTGCTGTGCGAATTTGGATCACGTGACCTTTGCTGACCTCTGTAAGTCAAACGGCTGGGAGTGCCACCGAATGACTCGGACTGTGGATTGGGCTGGGCATCTCAGGACCTACATTGTGTGCGAGTTTCAGCTTGATCGGAGGTGTCCCGAATCTGGGCTGAATCCGGGCTGCAACATATGGAGTGTCGTTTATTTGTACATTTTGCCCTGCCGAGGTCAAACGGGGTCACATATCCAGCAGCGGTTTTTAACCTTCGCCCCAGTGGGGGGGGGGGGGCATATGTTACCACCCTGTCGCGATTTTTGCGTGTGAATAAAAAACCGCGGCGCGTAGAGCCGCGCCGCTTGGAGTAGCTTTTGGTACATCAATTTTGGACAATGTGTGAAATTTCTTACCCCAGGTCATGTCAGGTCAGGTCACCAGGTCAAGTTAACTGATCAAGCCTAAAAAAGTTTGCAATCATGTCCAGCCTGCAGTGTTTGTCAGAATGCTTTTAAACTTGGTGGATTGCATGCTGTTATGGGCAGGTCTACAATTTGTATATCTCGGATTTTTTATATCCGTGATCTAAGGTCAGCTCAGTGGCGTGACCTTTCCATTACAAGTCAATGGAGAAAAATGAAAATGTCTCTAGATCCGTGTGTACGCATAGGAACAGTCAAAATATTTCAGAATCACAGTGATTTGGACCACCCGTGATGACCTAGGTGTCATTTTTGCTGATAGCCTCTAGAAAGGTCATCCGCATAGGCGTAGGAACAGGGGGGGCCAGGTGGGCAAGTGCCCACCCACTTTTCGAGGTGGGGGGGCCAACCATGTGTTTTGGCCCACCCACTTTTTACTCGAGGCCCCTCGTCTCGATTTGAGAGGACGTCGTCACCTTCCAGAATAAACAAACTCGGTAAAAATAAGTTCCACGAATCCCCACGCACGGACTCCAAGGGGCCGTGATGGATCCAAGGAGGCCCTCTGTTCATACTTGTCAGTCGAAGCCCCTGAGACTGATGGCCTGAGAGGCCCTAGTGGATCTGAGGAGGCCCCAATATCCACACTGGTCTGGGGAGGCCCCTGAAACTGGCGGTCTGGGAGGCCCCTCCATCCACACTAGTCAGAAAAGGCCCCTGACACTGGCGGTCTAGCCGAGGCCCCCTACCCTCACTAGTCAGAGGAGGCCCCTCTATCCTCAATAGTCAGAAGAGGCCCCTGAGACTGATGGTCTGGGAGGCCTATCCATCTACACTGTAGTCAGAGGAGGCCCCTGAGACCGATGACCTGAGAGGCCCTTATAATCACACCAGGCAGGCGAGGCCCATGAGACTGATGGACTGAGAGGCCCTTCTATTCATACTGGCCACAGGAGACCCCCAAAACTTTCGGTCTGGGAGGTCCCTCAATCCGGCACCAGTCAGAAGAGTCCCCTGAGACTGATGGCCTGGGAAGCCCTTATATTCTCACTAGGCAGAGGAGGCCCCTGAGACTGATGGTATGAGAGGCCCTCATATTCACACCAGTCAGAAGAGGCCCCCGAGGCTGATGGCTGCCTTCTGTTCATATAACTGGCCACTGGAGGCCCCTGAAACCGGTGGTCTGGGAGGGCCCTCTATCCAAACAAGTCAGAAGAGGCCCCTGAGACCGATGGTCTGAGAGGCTCTTATATTCATACTGGCCACAAGAGGCCCCTGAGACTGATAGTCAGAG